CCTTTTCTCCTCTCCTCGCGCCCTTTTCTTCCTCTCCTCGCGCCCTTTTCTCCTCTCCTCGCGCCTTTTCTCCTCTCCTCGCGCCCTTTTCTCTCCTCTCCTCGCGCCCTTTTCTCCTCTCTCGCGCCCTCTTTTCCCTCCTCGCGCCCTTTTCTCCTCTCCTCGCGCCCTTTTCTCCTCTCCTCGCGCCCTTTTCTCCTCTCCTCGCGCCCTTTTTCTCCTCTCCTCGCGCCCTTTTTCTCCTCTCCTCGCGCCATTTTCTCCTCTCCTCGCCGCCCTTTTTCCTCTCCTCGCGCCCTTTTCTCCTTCTCCTCGCGCCCTTTTCTCCTCTCCTCGCGCCCTTTTCTCCTCTCCTCGCGCCCTTTTCTCCTCTCCTCGCGCCCTTTTCTCCTCTCTCGCGCCCTTTTCTCCTCTCCTCGCGCCCTTTCTCCTCTCCTCGCGCCCTTTTCTCCTCTCCTCGCGCCCTTTTCTCCTCTCCTCGCGCCCTTTTTCTCCTCTCCTCGCGCCCTTTTCTCCTCTCCTCGCGCCCTTTTATCCTCTCCTCGCGCCTTTTTCTCCTCTCCTCGCGCCCCTTTTCTCCTCTCCTCGCGACCTTTTCTCCTCTTCCGCGCGATTTTTCTCCTCCTCCTCGCGCCCTTTTCTCCCCTTCCTCGCGCCCTTTTCTCCTCTCCTCGCGCCCTTTTTCTCCTCTCCTCGCGCCTTTTCTCCTCTCCTCGCCGCCCTTTTCTCCTCTCCTCGCGCCCTTTTCTCCTCTCCTCGCGCCCTTTTCTCTCTCCTCGCCGCCCTTTTCTCCTCTCCTCGCGCCCTTTTCTCCTCTCCTCGCGCCCTTTTCTCTCTCCTCGCGCCCATTTCTCCTCTCCTCGCGCCATTTCTCCTCTCCTCGCACCCATTTCTCCTCTCCTCGCACCCCTTTCTCCTCTCCTCGCACCATTTCTCCTCTCTCGCCACCATTTCTCCTCTCCTCGCACCCATTTCTCCTCTCCTCGCACCCATTTCTCCTCTCCTCGCACCCTTTCTCTCTCCTCGCACCCTTTTCTCCTCTCCTCGCACCCTTTTCTCCTCTCCTCGCACCCTTTTCTCCTCTCCTCGCACCCTTTTCTCCTCTCCTCGCACCCTTTTCTCCTCTCCTCGCACCCTTTTTCTCCTCTCCTCGCACCCTTTTCTCCTCTCCTCGCACCCTTTTCTCCTCTCCTCGCACCCTTTTCTCCTCTCCTCGCACCCTTTTCTCCTCTCCTCGCACCCTTTTCTCCTCTCCTCGCACCCTTTTCTCCTCTCCTCGCACCCTTTTCTCCTCTCCTCGCACCCTTTTCTCCTCTCCTCGCACCCTTTTCTCCTCTCCTCGCACCCTTTTCTCCTCTCCTCGCACCCTTTTCTCCTCTCCTCGCACCCTTTTCTCCTCTCCTCGCACCCTTTTCTCCTCTCCTCGCACCCTTTTCTCCTCTCCTCGCACCCTTTTCTCCTCTCCTCGCACCCTTTTCTCCTCTCCTCGCTCTCTCTCCACCCCCCTTTTGTCTCGCTTGCCTTCCTCCTGCTTCACACACCACGTCACGTCCCTACCACATCTTCTCGTCCCTAACCCCACAAGAAACCTCTCTTCCTTCCTCTCCCTCCCGCCCTACTCTTCCCTCCTCCCCCCATGCTCCCCCTGCTGCAGCCTTCCTGGCCTACAGCGTCAGCTATGTGCTGTCTCTCATCATGCCCATGCTCGTCGCGGCTCTGCGTGTCGCTGTGTCCGGCCGCCCCATGTCCTGGTGAGTGCACGGCTGAGTGTAACCGATTTTGAGTTTTAGAAGCCTCAGAAGCCGCCCCATGTCCTAGTGAGCTCATGGCTCAGTGTAATGTAACCACTTGTGAGTTTGTATGCGAACCCTCTCTGAATGTAGGTGATATATATCAACATGAATTGTCCTTCCCTGTCTCCATCTATCCTAGTTGCTGTACAATGAACTTGCCTCCTTGCCACCTCCCTACCTCTCCACTACCACTACCACCACTCCCCCATCCCACCTCTCCACCGCTCCTCCTCTCCAGCACCTCCTTCCCAGTTGCCTCCAAATGAGTTTGCTTGCAAGAGAAAAAGCTTTCTGTCCAATGCAACCGTCTTCCCATCCCAAGCATGCACCTCTATCCATGCTCATACCAACTTCCGCATACACTGACGCTCCGTCCTCTTCCTTCCAACCCCCTCCCCTCTCCCTCCCCTATTCTTCCAAGTCTTTTCAAAAACGCTTCTCACCGGCCTTCCGTCCGCTCCCCTTACTCGTCCTCTCCCCTTACTCGTCCTCTCCCCTGCGCCCTCCCTCCCTCCCTCCCTGTGCCTGTGGCAGGTTCGCTCATCCCGTGTACTCACTGTTCACGTTCATCCCAGCAGCCGTCCTCGGGTTGCTGCTGCCACACTACATCCGTGCAGGAGGGTCCCTTAGCACCCCGCTTCACTCACCCCCCAGCAAGAGGTCTGCCCCCACCCACCTCTCTCCCTCCCTTCCCTTCCCCCTCTGCTTCCCGCCCCTCCCCTTTGTCTTTGAGTCCACTCGAAGACCCCTCCCAGCAAGAGGTGTGCCTCCTCCCACCTTTCTCCCCCCCTTCCCCCTCCGCTCCCCGCCCCTCCCCTCTGTCCGTCCGTTCCTCCAACCCCTCGCGCTTGCTCCGTGCCTATTCCATTCCCGTTTGTTCGAATGGTTGAGAGGAGTGCTTGCAATGGAATATGAAAGGTTACACACAAAGAGCGTCTTGAGAGGCAAGCGCCCATTCCTCGTCCCCATGCAATGCTTTCTCTTGTGAATCTCACTCACCACCGTTCCCCTCTCACACCATCTGCTTTCCGGACCCACCCCTCTCCCTTTGGTCCTGCCCTCCCACCCGTTTGCCTGTCTTCAACTCTTTCGGCCTGCCTGCCTGCTCGCGCATGCCCCCCTGCTCTTTTGCCTGCCTGAACGCCCGCCCCTGCATGCTTGTCTCACCCCCCATGCAGGTGGCTTTTGTGTGGTCGTCGCACTGGGGATCCCTGTCCTTCAACGTTGGCCTCAATGCCGTGAGCTCCTTCTTCCCCTCTCCATCATACACCAGCCGCTCCCTTTGCCCCTTTGGGCATGCGCATGCATGCATACACACTTGCATGATGCACAACTGCATGCACGCGCTCGTGCGCGCGTGCACACATATGTGCACATCCACATGCACACATGCCACTCTTTTAGCTCAACACTGTTCCACGTCCGAAACATATGCATGCAGATGCCTCACTCATGGCATCCTTCCTTGCCCGCTTTATCACATGGCACACATGACCACCACACAGAGCCGAGCCCACGCGTCCTTTCACCGTTTCAGCCGCCTCAAAAGTCGACTCATGGCATCCTCATCCTCCCTTGCCCGCATCATCACATGGAACACATGACCATCACACAGAGCCAAGGGCACACATCCTTTCACCCACACACACCTTCCCCTACATCTTTTCCGTCCATTCCACCTTACCACCACCACCTCACCACTACTCCATCCATATGCACATCCCTCCTGTTATTCAAATCTCTCCCTCCCCATTTCTTCCACCCATGGCCGCATGTCACACCAGCTGATCATGCACGGGTTTGGTGGCAGTGGGGGGTTTGTCAACTGGTGGTGGGCTTTTTTCATGCTCCCCGCTCTCTTCCTCTACACCTCGCTTCAAGCCAACCTCGGCAAATCAAACCCGCTGTATGAACAATCGGCTCTTTTCAACCCTCCTGTTCTTTTGGTGAAGGGGCGTGATAAGGGAAGGGAGACAGAAGGTTCCTCATGTGAAGCCCTGTCTTACATACTCCCAACGCTTCTTCCGCTGCTCTTTTATTGCTATTGCTCTCCCTCCCCACCTTGCCCGTCCTCCCCTCTTCCAAAACACTCGCATCCCCCCCAAGCTCCCACCTCTCTCGTCATTCTGCAAACACGCCGCTAAATTTGTTCTCTCTCCCCCCCCACCCCCTTCCCCTCACTCCCCTCCTCTCCATCAACCAGGGCCGTGCTGGGCTATCTGCTGCCGGGGGCCTTCCCAGTGGCATTCTCCACCACCTTCACAGTCTTTTTCCTCGAGTTCATGGCTGAGAAGATGGGCGCCACCGGCACTCCGCCCCTGCCATTTGGTAAGTCCGTTTCACCACCTTCCCTTCTCCTGCTCGCAGGGCCCTGCTGGGCTATCTATCTGTTGCCAGGGGCCTTTTCTGTGGCATTCTCCACCACCTTTACGACTTTTGAGTCGAATCAAAAGCCACCTTCACAGTCTTCTTCACAGTCTTCTTCCTCAAGTTCATGGCTGAGAAAATGGGCGCCACAGGCACTCCGCCCCTGCCCTTCGGTGCGCACCTCCTCCCCACCTTTTCACCACCTTCTCAGAACCTCCTCACCACCTTCTCTCTCTACCCCTCATCCTCTTTGCATGCACTTGCTTCCCCTTTTGCCTGCCTTACCTCTCGCTCATCTTCTCAACCGTTTCCCCCTCTCCCTCTTCCTTCCTTCTCAACACCGCAGCATGCACTCCCATCCATTCTTGAACCCCACGCCCTCACGTCCTCCTCCCCATGCACTCACCTCTCCCCACCATTTCCTCAACTTCCTCCCCCGGTGCACCCTGCCCCCACCCCGCTAGCAGGCGTGGTGCTGGCAGCGTGCGTGGGCTTATGTGTGTGTCTCATCATGCTCCCCTACACCGCACTACTCCCACACTACCTCGCGCCTCAAAATCCTCATCCCCTCCCCCCTCTGTCTCTCACCCCGCCATCAGGTCCCTTCCTAGCAGACGTGGTGCTGGCAGCGTGCACGGGTTTCTGTGTGTGTCTCATCATGGCGCCATACGCCGCGTTGCTCTCACGCTACCTCGCGCGCCCCGCTGTCCTGCACGGCCTCCTCCTCTCCTCCCTGCTCGCCGCGGCCCTCACCTCGCAACTCTTTCCCTACGACACGCACGCCCCGAAACGCGTGCTCATGCAGCGAGTATACAGGATGCAAGGTGAGAAATGCGCCTTTGCGTGCGCCGCCCCGTACCATATCCTGTCCTTTCAACTGGGGAATGAGTGGATTCGAACGGTGGTTATTAGATGTTGTTTTCCTTTTATGTGTGTGTCTTTACTTATTGAAATACTGTGCAAAAGGGCAACCTGGAAACAATACATTTGTGCCTGCCTCCCACCACCCTCTCACCCTTCTCTCACCCTCAACCCCTCCCACCCTTCCCACCCCTCTCACTCTCACCCCTCGCACCCGCCTCTACCCTCTCACCCCTTTCCATCCACCAGGCGGCAAGGCAGTGAGTGCAGAGACCACAATAGCTACTGGCGACTCCAATGATGCCACCTTCCTTCTGCACCACGTGCCCCGCCTCGCCCGCTCCCTCGGCGTGCCCCCTCCTCCCGCGCACCATCACTCCAACCGCACCACACTCACCATCGCAAGGCCGTCCAATCTGCTGGTAACCACACATGCAATACACCTGGTGTATCTGTTCTGCTCAGTTCAGATTATCTGGTGCTGGTTGCTGGCCTTTGCTGGTTTCATAGAGGCAAACATAGGAAGCACAATGTGCTTTCTGCATTAACCTGTTAAGGCTCTCATTCTCCACAACTTTCCTGCTGCTGATCGCAGTGCAAGAATTCCTCTCACAAGTCCTCCTCCCTCTGCTCTCCCTCCCTGCACAGTCACAAATGCCCTCCCACCAATGCACCCACCTTATCCCCTCCGTCCACCCATTGTCCACCCATATATACCACCCAACCCACCCACCCCCCAGGCCCTCTACCCGGTCTCCAGTCTCCTAGACCGCCCCTTGACCTTCCCCGCGCCCCTCTCCCCTCGCTTCGACGACCCGAACTTCCAGCTGCCCTCTCTCCGCGTGCTGCAGCAGCACACCTCCTCCTCCGCGCAGCAACTGGGTGTGGATGGGGAGTGGCGAGGCGGGAGGAGCCTGGAGGAAATGGATGAGAGGGAGATTGAGAACTATGGGCTGGAGATGGATGGGGAGGGGGAGGGAGGAGCAGCCGTGCAGACGAAGGGGGGGAAGAGACGGAGGATTTACCTGGAGCTTGCATCAGGGTGAGTGGGAGTGGGATCTGCTAAATGGTCAAATTTCAGTAACTGCATTGTGAAGAAAGAGGGGAAGGGTAGGAGGAGGGGGGGACATGAAGGAGGGGGGGGTGAGACAGGTTTATTTTTGTCTTTCTCCCAAACATCATGAAACTGCTCCTAAGGCGCCTCAAAAATCAGGTCATTGTGAAACAGTAGTCTTTCAACTTGGTGTACCAAAAATCACCAGCTCCGGTTGATTTCATTGCCACCATGCAGTTGACACTTCCTACCCATCCCAACCGTACTCTCTGCTCCTCCCGCCCCACTTCCCTGTGCAGGTCACTGGCGCATGTGTGGTCTGCTGTGCTGAACATCACCGGCCCTGTCACTGCGTGGTCCCTCACCCCCACCCTCCCAGGTACGCTCACACTCTTGTACCTCACTCTTCGCCTTATCCTGTTCTCCTCACCCACCTTGCCCGAATCTCTCTGCCTAGCAACCTGGCAGCCTGCTGCCCCTCGCACCCCACTACATGCATCTGTCCATTTTCATCTCTTTATCTACCCTTGATGTATGTTCCTTCCTCAAGCATCTCCCTTCCTCAAGCATCTCCCTTGCCATACCCTCCCCCAGCCTCACTACCCGTTTGCTAGTTTTGCCTACCGCAAACCTGCATTTACGTAATATGTCCGCCATCAACAAACGCCCCTTAAAATGCTTCCACTCTTTTCCACCTCATCTCAACAATTCGCCTCTGTGTGTCTGTCTGGTCATACGGCCCGAATTACCGTATGTCCCCAATCTCTCTGTGTGTATCTGCATCTCTCTTCCCTCCCATCACCTGTGACCCCTATCACTGCAGCGCGGGAGAAGGTTGCAGGAGGGCCACCGTCCCTCATGGTGCACTACTCGGGTGCATTCCCATGGCAGCTGTGGCTTGAGGTGAGAGCTGCCTGCTGCCGCTACTCCTCCTGCTGCTGCCTTTGCTCCTGTCTCGGTTGCATTACTCGGATGCATTCCCATTCCCTTACCAATCCACCCGCACCCCTCTCGCAAACCACTTCCCTGCACAGGCACTTGCACCAAGGCCCTCTTGAAGTGTCTGCCTTGTCGTATTCCATCCAATGTTACTCACCCTCACCACACGATCGTGCCTTGGCAGGTGAAAGGACGGCGCAGGATACATGTTGAGCTGGCGGTGCTGGACCATGAGATGGATGCTGACGTGGCACAGATGAAGAGCCTCTTGCCAGACTGGACTGCTCCGATCGTGTCCTCTTCCTACGTTGCCCATTACACATTCTGAATACTGGGTGCGCTGGAAGTACTACTACATGCATATGAGGTAGTTCAGGCTTATGAGGTTGACGTGTTGTAGTGTGTATAGAACACGCATCCTTCCTTCCAAATACTCAGAATTACTTTGTGTTGTCCTGGTGCATGCTACGTACCGACCGGTACGCTCAACACAAGTCTCGTCTCATGACCTTGAACAAACAGTGCAGGAAGTGCATTCTGTAACGATGTATAGCTGTTAATACTACTAGGTAACAGGCACAGCTCATGCTAGCCAGAGGCATGATATTCAAACCAAATCATATCACAAACAATATGCCCCCACCCAACGACCCTATCAGCTCTGCTCTTTATTTCTCTGCTTTGGTCACACACTACTCGGGCATCTACTACCTAACCTGCGTCCCTTCTACCCTAATTCCCTGCCATAGGACCTTCTTCGACTCCTTATAAGAACCGATGTACGTGCTGCTGCCGAGTGCTCACTTGCGCTTGCCTGCTCTCTTGCCCTCGCCCTTCTTGGGCACGCCCTTGCCTCGTCGCTTCATGCGCTCTATCTTGAGCACTCGCCTGCCACCACCCACGCACGAGAGGGAGTGGCGGTGAGAGGCGATAGGAGGCGGGTGGTAGGGAGCAGGGGGGACGGTGGAGCGAGGGGGAAGAGGGAGAGGGAGAGGGAGGGGAGAGGGCGAGGGAGATGGAGAAGGAGAGGGAGAGGGAGAAGAAGAGAAGCGAGGTTAGGAGTCGTGACTAAGGCATCGTGGGCGGAGATTCATGGTGTGCACAGTCTTTGTACAAGTGTGAGAATGCTAACATGAGCGCACAGGAGGAATAGACACTGGAAGGACAATTGACGGTTTTCCAGAAAACAAGAGCGTGGAAACACGTTGGCTGGTGGATGGCAGAATGCCGTAGTGAAGACGCGTGAAAAGGAGCAAAGCACTGCATGGATGGGAGGGCAGCAACAAGGAGCTCTTGCATAACTGGCACGCTTCAAGGTTGAGACGGAAGGCGAGGGGAGAAGTGGGTGTGAGAGGGTTGATAGGGAGGGGCGATGGAACTCGCAGGAGAAGTCGTTAAGGGAAGAGTGCACGGGGAGCAAGACGTGCTTGGAGTCGACACGGAACACACGCGAAAGGGCAGCGATGGAAGTCGCAGAAAGCAGCGGGTAAGGGAGGAAGACACGGCGAGAAAGACCGGGAGCATCTGCAGTGACGCTTGATTCGCGAACGCGAGGCGGCGTAACCAGGCAGAGTTACGCGGGAATGACGCGGAGAGGAGTACGCGGGGACGCGGAGGCGCGGAGACGTAGAGACATAGGCAGGGAGAGATCACGGCAGAGCGAAAACGCCGATCACGATCCCAAACATTGTTCCGCGTCGCAAACACCTCACGCGACGGCAAGCAAGAGCGCAAGGGCAGGCGGCGATTGCACTTACTTGGGTTCGGAGGGATCGACGTAAAGCGGATCCATTTTCTGCACGGGCTCGGGGTACCAAGCGACGACCTTGTCGCCGATGAGCTTCTGGCGCAGCACCTTGTGCCCCGACCGCAGCCCGTTGCCGATCACGTTGCCGAATATCCGCGCCGACGCCTCCGCCACGCCTCGTAGATGCGCCATGGCGTCGCGCGATTGGGGAAGGGAAAGGGAGACGGGGAAGTGGGAACGCGGCGGGATGGGGTTGGGGGAAGGGGAGCAAACACGGGGTGGAGGGGAGGGGGTGCGGCTGCGGGATGACGGACGCGCTACAGGATACACTGTTTATACTACGTAATGAAAGTTTGCTTTGTTTGATCCAATTGACAATCCATTTGCAAACGACGAATCAGCATATTTCAGCGTTAATTGGCAATCTAGTCAATAATGAAGCTGATCAACAACTCGTTTATGGCACCAATTTAAAATCCACTGTTTGGTGATCTGTAGCTCCTGAACACTGCTATTACGGAGAATCCGGATTTGAACGATTTGTATTTAGCCTGGTTGGTCAAAACTTGTGTATTATGCATGTCAGCATAATACTTTCATCTGGGCGTTAGCGGAACTGCATATTTCGGAGCAGGGCATCAAATCAGTCGCGGCGCGGAGTGCAGTGCCGTGTTACGGATCGCATTTTCCGTGCCATGCACATTTTCCCGCCATCGCGCCGCGATTACCCAACACCAGAGTGAAATTGGTGGAGCACACGTGAGATTGGAGTGACTATGGGTGACGGGGCGTTTTTTTCAGGAAGTGGGGTGGTTCGAAGACGAGGCTGGCCGAGATGGCGCGACATGCTGCCTTATTCCCGACGTGGTCAGCTCGGCATTCTCGCAACGCTCTTGTCCTCCGTGAAGTGAGGTCGCGGTCCTGGGGTGTCCTGGACATTCCGTGTCCTGGGGGCATGCCAGGAACACGTGCTGATGCTGACGTGTATGTCCAGGGTTCGGGTGTCCTGGACACCCCAGGACCGCGATCTGAGGCGAGGCAAAATACTACGGCGGCGTGCCGTCCTCGTCGAAATAGCGCGTCTGTAGCAGCACCACCCAGATTAGAAATAAAATCGTCGCACCAGGTTTGTGTTGGCATTCTCACTCTAGGAGCTCGCTTCTGAGAATCCTCACAAGCCCCACACACGCTACCAGGAGTTCAACACGCATCCAGCTAGCTCCTCGCGCCTTCATGATAGTGCACATGTGAGCTGGGCACGTCGCGAGAGGCCGCGTGGCAGAGGTAACGGGACGAATTCAGCTCGGCGCTATGCGCGGCAGGTTCCGGCACGTCCTCTTTAGGCCGTCCGACTGCCACGTGGCGGTAGAGTTAAATCTAACAAGCAAACTCTGGTGGTCTTGATCCGTCGGTTGCGGAAAAGGGTACTAGGAGCGGCTTTCTAGAAAAGACCGCCAAGCCTGCTTCGCTCCTATCGCAGCCAGGCGGACGCCTAAACCTGCCGGCTATGGCGGTGCATCGCGGCTCCCATCACGGTCTCGTGGCGCTCGTTGCGGCGATCGCATGCTGCTGCCTGCCGTGCGTGACGTCGCTGGCAGTGCCCATCGCTGAATCGCAGGGTGCGTTGGTCGCAGGGTGCGTTGGTCGCTCTCCTCATTTCCCGCTGTGCGCAATCGAACCCTCCATATCGTGAGACTTCACCACCTCAGCCGCCTTGCACGGTGGGGATGCGCCTTGGACGCCGGCCGGCCGGCCAGTCAGCCAGTCAGCCTGCCAGCCAGTCAGCTGGCCAGCTGTTTGTGAACGGCAGTGCGTGAGCAGGTGTTACGACAAGCATCATTGCTGATTAACAAGCCTCATTCTTCCAACGGACACGCCCTGTCCTTCTGCTCTTCTCCCTTCCCCCCACGCCCACCACCACCGACCTTCATTACGCTGCACCAGCAGTCTACGCACAGCCCAACCAACCCTTCACAGCCATTCCCTGTCGTTTTCACGGTTGCTGTGCTGTTGCTGGCTGCCCGGCAGGTGCTGTGTTGGAGGAGTTGCAATATAATTGGGGCAAAAACTTAACGGGCTGGCAGGCGGGGAGCGACTGCCAGCAAGCGCAAGGCCTCACATGCGACTCAGACGGCATGATCACCTCCATGTGCGTGCGCACCGCTCCCTGCTGTGCTGCGTTGTGTCCTATCTGCCGTTCTTCTCTGCACTGCACTGCACCGCACCGCACCGTGCCATACACATTGCTAGCTGCGATCATTGTTAACCTTCCCAGCTCTTCCCTCCACCACATGTTTGCGCGATATTAGCTTGCATGTTTCTTGAGCCTGATTCAAGTTGAGCGCACTCACAGCCACTCTGTTGACCCCAGGCCCCGCAATTCCCGCCTGTACTCACAAGGACCTGTCTCTTGCCGTCACTCGACTTCTTGCATTCAGAGCTCCGATTGCTCTGCGCAGCGACGCAACGCACGCCCAGTCGGCCATTCATGAGTCTGGCCCGTCCCGTATTACACAAACAGAAGCGCTCGTCCCACCCGCAAAAGCACACTTCCCCCCCACAGACAGACTCTTACTTCTCCTCGCTCAAAACGGCCATCCCCCCTCCCTCCAACCCAACCACCCATCCCATTCCTCCTGTGTGGCGCAGGCACCTCGAGACAACTGCAGTGGAGGCCCTCGAACCCGCCTCCGTCACCCAGCTGTCGCGCCTCACCCAGCTGTACGCACGCCCGTGCTGAAATCACTTTTGAGAATTCTTAATAGTGATTTCAGACTAGCTGTATGCCTCTGCGCTGCTCCCTCACATGGCAGTCGAACGTATCGTGCTCAACGGAAATGTGCGGGATGTGTGTGTATGTGTTTGGGAGGGGGGGGGGGGTGTGGGGGAAGGGGGGGGGGGTGTGGGGGTGCGAGTGCGTGGGCGCGTAGAGAGGGGCTGCCATGCTCGTAGATTCTGAGAATGCGCGTTGTGCTTTCTCTCCCCATGAGTTCCCTGGTGTATTCCAGTCTAGTATAGTTACAGTTAAGGAGGTATTCTGGTTTGAGTGGATTCAGAATGTGCTTGCTTCTCCCTGTGCCCAGCCATTGCTCATCTGTCCCTTAACCCTGATTCGTATCACCATCACCATCACCATCACCATCACCATCACCATCACCATCACCGTCACCATCACCATCACCATCACCACCACCATCACCATCACCATCACCACCACCATCACCATCACCACCATCACCACCATCACCGTCACACTTCTATTTTCCCTGCTCCACGCATGTGCCACACACAGGGAGTTTTCACAAGTGGACCTCTTCCCATGGGGGTCCTTCTACAGCATCACGTGGCTCAAGTCCCTGTGAGTCTCCAACGGGGTCCCCCCCTAGAGCTGGCAAGTTCTATTTGATGGCTGCAGCCCGTCGTGTGTGATGTGATGTGATGTGATGTGATGTGATGTGATGGGATCATTTGAAACATGCCGGCAGCAACACGAATGAAGGTCGATATTGCTGATTCTCCTGCTGCGCGTTTTCTGCAGGGTGGTGGACTGCTTGCCGTACATGATTACCGACATCCCCGACGGGGTGGCCAACTTCACGCAGCTCTCCAGGCTGTAAGCACGTGCTTGCTTGTGCCCGTGCACGGGGTGGCCCACGGGGAGGCTGTAGGCATGTGCACGTGCTTGTTTGTGGCTCATTCCGCTTAAAGCGCATTGTGAGCGAGAGTGAGTGTGAGGCCCATGTCAGAGATAAAAACACAGTTAGCATGGCATGATATGGTTTGACATTGTAACGGCACAGTTTCCCCTGGTATGGCATGGCATGGCATGGCATGGCATGACATGTTGCCTCATGTGCTGCTCGTCTGTGTGAAATGTCCCTTGTGTTGTGCAATGTGCTGACGACCCACAGGAGAATTAGCGACTGTGGTTTCGGTGATCAGCTTAACAGGTTGACTCGCCTCACCAACCTTGTAGATCTGTGAGCCCCACACCCGCCCGTTCCCCACACCCGTTCCCCACACCCGCCCGTTCCCCACACCCGTTCCCCACACCCGCCCGTTCCCCACACCCGTTCCCCACACCCGCCCGTTCCCCACACCCGTTCCCCACACCCGCCCGTTCCCCACACCCGTTCCCCACACCCGCCCGTTCCCCACACCCGCCCGTTCCCCACACCCGTTCCCCACACCCGCCCGTTCCCCACGCCCGTTCCCCACACCCGTTCCCCACACCCGCCCGTTCCCCACACCCGTTCCATGCACGCCTCACCTTCACTGCTCCCCGTGGGTGGTCCTCTGCACCGCAGCATCAATGCTTCTGCTTCCGTTCGTGCTCATCCCTGATCAACCTGACACACACCTCTCCTGTGCAGAGACGTGCCATCAAACGGCATAACGTACATTGGATATGTCAGCAGCAACGTCTTCCCCAGTCTCGCGAAACTGTACGTATTCACCTGTGTGCCCCGGCTTGCTGTTGTTTGTGTGATTGTCCCCAGCCCCGCCATGCATGTTGAAAAAGGAGACACATTCACTCATTGAATTTGAGCTCCATGGGGTCTCTTTTGAGCTCCATGGGGTCTCTTTTGAGCTCCATGGGGTCTCTTTTGAGCTCCATGGGGTCTCTTTTGAGCTCCATGGGGTCTCTTTTGAGCTCCATGGGGTCTCTTTTGAGCTCCATGGGGTCTCTTTTGAGCTCCATGGGGTCTCTTTTGAGCTCCATGGGGTCTCTTTTGAGCTCCATGGGGTCTCTTTTGAGCTCCATGGGGTCTCTTTTGAGCTCCATGGGGTCTCTTTTGAGCTCCATGGGGTCTCTTTTGAGCTCCATGGGGTCTCTTTTGAGCTCCATGGGGTCTCTTTTGAGCTCCATGGGGTCTCTTTTGAGCTCCATGGGGTCTCTTTTGAGCTCCATGGGGTCTCTTTTGAGCTCCATGGGGTCTCTTTTGAGCTCCATGGGGTCTCTTTTGAGCTCCATGGGGTCTCTTTTGAGCTCCATGGGGTCTCTTTTGAGCTCCATGGGGTCTCTTTTGAGCTCCATGGGGTCTCTTTTGAGCTCCATGGGGTCTCTTTTGAGCTCCATGGGGTCTCTTTTGAGCTCCATGGGGTCTCTTTTGAGCTCCATGGGGTCTCTTTTGAGCTCCATGGGGTCTCTTTTGAGCTCCATGGGGTCTCTTTTGAGCTCCATGGGGTCTCTTTTGAGCTCCATGGGGTCTCTTTTGAGCTCCATGGGGTCTCTTTTGAGCTCCATGGGGTCTCTTTTGAGCTCCATGGGGTCTCTTTTGAGCTCCATGGGGTCTCTTTTGAGCTCCATGGGGTCTCTTTTGAGCTCCATGGGGTCTCTTTTGAGCTCCATGGGGTCTCTTTTGAGCTCCATGGGGTCTCTTTTGAGCTCCATGGGGTCTCTTTTGAGCTCCATGGGGTCTCTTTTGAGCTCCATGGGGTCTCTTTTGAGCTCCATGGGGTCTCTTTTGAGCTCCATGGGGTCTCTTTTGAGCTCCATGGGGTCTCTTTTGAGCTCCATGGGGTCTCTTTTGAGCTCCATGGGGTCTCTTTTGAGCTCCATGGGGTCTCTTTTGAGCTCCATGGGGTCTCTTTTGAGCTCCATGGGGTCTCTTTTGAGCTCCATGGGGTCTCTTTTGAGCTCCATGGGGTCTCTTTTGAGCTCCATGGGGTCTCTTTTGAGCTCCATGGGGTCTCTTTTGAGCTCCATGGGGTCTCTTTTGAGCTCCATGGGGTCTCTTTTGAGCTCCATGGGGTCTCTTTTGAGCTCCATGGGGTCTCTTTTGAGCTCCATGGGGTCTCTTTTGAGCTCCATGGGGTCTCTTTTGAGCTCCATGGGGTCTCTTTTGAGCTCCATGGGGTCTCTTTTGAGCTCCATGGGGTCTCTTTTGAGCTCCATGGGGTCTCTTTTGAGCTCCATGGGGTCTCTTTTGAGCTCCATGGGGTCTCTTTTGAGCTCCATGGGGTCTCTTTTGAGCTCCATGGGGTCTCTTTTGAGCTCCATGGGGTCTCTTTTGAGCTCCATGGGGTCTCTTTTGAGCTCCATGGGGTCTCTTTTGAGCTCCATGGGGTCTCTTTTGAGCTCCATGGGGTCTCTTTTGAGCTCCATGGGGTCTCTTTTGAGCTCCATGGGGTCTCTTTTGAGCTCCATGGGGTCTCTTTTGAGCTCCATGGGGTCTCTTTTGAGCTCCATGGGGTCTCTTTTGAGCTCCATGGGGTCTCTTTTGAGCTCCATGGGGTCTCTTTTGAGCTCCATGGGGTCTCTTTTGAGCTCCATGGGGTCTCTTTTGAGCTCCATGGGGTCTCTTTTGAGCTCCATGGGGTCTCTTTTGAGCTCCATGGGGTCTCTTTTGAGCTCCATGGGGTCTCTTTTGAGCTCCATGGGGTCTCTTTTGAGCTCCATGGGGTCTCTTTTGAGCTCCATGGGGTCTCTTTTGAGCTCCATGGGGTCTCTTTTGAGCTCCATGGGGTCTCTTTTGAGCTCCATGGGGTCTCTTTTGAGCTCCATGGGGTCTCTTTTGAGCTCCATGGGGTCTCTTTTGAGCTCCATGGGGTCTCTTTTGAGCTCCATGGGGTCTCTTTTGAGCTCCATGGGGTCTCTTTTGAGCTCCATGGGGTCTCTTTTGAGCTCCATGGGGTCTCTTTTGAGCTCCATGGGGTCTCTTTTGAGCTCCATGGGGTCTCTTTTGAGCTCCATGGGGTCTCTTTTGAGCTCCATGGGGTCTCTTTTGAGCTCCATGGGGTCTCTTTTGAGCTCCATGGGGTCTCTTTTGAGCTCCATGGGGTCTCTTTTGAGCTCCATGGGGTCTCTTTTGAGCTCCATGGGGTCTCTTTTGAGCTCCATGGGGTCTCTTTTGAGCTCCATGGGGTCTCTTTTGAGCTCCATGGGGTCTCTTTTGAGCTCCATGGGGTCTCTTTTGAGCTCCATGGGGTCTCTTTTGAGCTCCATGGGGTCTCTTTTGAGCTCCATGGGGTCTCTTTTGAGCTCCATGGGGTCTCTTTTGAGCTCCATGGGGTCTCTTTTGAGCTCCATGGGGTCTCTTTTGAGCTCCATGGGGTCTCTTTTGAGCTCCATGGGGTCTCTTTTGAGCTCCATGGGGTCTCTTTTGAGCTCCATGGGGTCTCTTTTGAGCTCCATGGGGTCTCTTTTGAGCTCCATGGGGTCTCTTTTGAGCTCCATGGGGTCTCTTTTGAGCTCCATGGGGTCTCTTTTGAGCTCCATGGGGTCTCTTTTGAGCTCCATGGGGTCTCTTTTGAGCTCCATGGGGTCTCTTTTGAGCTCCATGGGGTCTCTTTTGAGCTCCATGGGGTCTCTTTTGAGCTCCATGGGGTCTCTTTTGAGCTCCATGGGGTCTCTTTTGAGCTCCATGGGGTCTCTTTTGAGCTCCATGGGGTCTCTTTTGAGCTCCATGGGGTCTCTTTTGAGCTCCATGGGGTCTCTTTTGAGCTCCATGGGGTCTCTTTTGAGCTCCATGGGGTCTCTTTTGAGCTCCATGGGGTCTCTTTTGAGCTCCATGGGGTCTCTTTTGAGCTCCATGGGGTCTCTTTTGAGCTCCATGGGGTCTCTTTTGAGCTCCATGGGGTCTCTTTTGAGCTCCATGGGGTCTCTTTTGAGCTCCATGGGGTCTCTTTTGAGCTCCATGGGGTCTCTTTTGAGCTCCATGGGGTCTCTTTTGAGCTCCATGGGGTCTCTTTTGAGCTCCATGGGGTCTCTTTTGAGCTCCATGGGGTCTCTTTTGAGCTCCATGGGGTCTCTTTTGAGCTCCATGGGGTCTCTTTTGAGCTCCATGGGGTCTCTTTTGAGCTCCATGGGGTCTCTTTTGAGCTCCATGGGGTCTCTTTTGAGCTCCATGGGGTCTCTTTTGAGCTCCATGGGGTCTCTTTTGAGCTCCATGGGGTCTCTTTTGAGCTCCATGGGGTCTCTTTTGAGCTCCATGGGGTCTCTTTTGAGCTCCATGGGGTCTCTTTTGAGCTCCATGGGGTCTCTTTTGAGCTCCATGGGGTCTCTTTTGAGCTCCATGGGGTCTCTTTTGAGCTCCATGGGGTCTCTTTTGAGCTCCATGGGGTCTCTTTTGAGCTCCATGGGGTCTCTTTTGAGCTCCATGGGGTCTCTTTTGAGCTCCATGGGGTCTCTTTTGAGCTCCATGGGGTCTCTTTTGAGCTCCATGGGGTCTCTTTTGAGCTCCATGGGGTCTCTTTTGAGCTCCATGGGGTCTCTTTTGAGCTCCATGGGGTCTCTTTTGAGCTCCATGGGGTCTCTTTTGAGCTCCATGGGGTCTCTTTTGAGCTCCATGGGGTCTCTTTTGAGCTCCATGGGGTCTCTTTTGAGCTCCATGGGGTCTCTTTTGAGCTCCATGGGGTCTCTTTTGAGCTCCATGGGGTCTCTTTTGAGCTCCATGGGGTCTCTTTTGAGCTCCATGGGGTCTCTTTTGAGCTCCATGGGGTCTCTTTTGAGCTCCATGGGGTCTCTTTTGAGCTCCATGGGGTCTCTTTTGAGCTCCATGGGGTCTCTTTTGAGCTCCATGGGGTCTCTTTTGAGCTCCATGGGGTCTCTTTTGAGCTCCATGGGGTCTCTTTTGAGCTCCATGGGGTCTCTTTTGAGCTCCATGGGGTCTCTTTTGAGCTCCATGGGGTCTCTTTTGAGCTCCATGGGGTCTCTTTTGAGCTCCATGGGGTCTCTTTTGAGCTCCATGGGGTCTCTTTTGAGCTCCATGGGGTCTCTTTTGAGCTCCATGGGGTCTCTTTTGAGCTCCATGGGGTCTCTTTTGAGCTCCATGGGGTCTCTTTTGAGCTCCATGGGGTCTCTTTTGAGCTCCATGGGGTCTCTTTTGAGCTCCATGGGGTCTCTTTTGAGCTCCATGGGGTCTCTTTTGAGCTCCATGGGGTCTCTTTTGAGCTCCATGGGGTCTCTTTTGAGCTCCATGGGGTCTCTTTTGAGCTCCATGGGGTCTCTTTTGAGCTCCATGGGGTCTCTTTTGAGCTCCATGGGGTCTCTTTTGAGCTCCATGGGGTCTCTTTTGAGCTCCATGGGGTCTCTTTTGAGCTCCATGGGGTCTCTTTTGAGCTCCATGGGGTCTCTTTTGAGCTCCATGGGGTCTCTTTTGAGCTCCATGGGGTCTCTTTTGAGCTCCATGGGGTCTCTTTTGAGCTCCATGGGGTCTCTTTTGAGCTCCATGGGGTCTCTTTTGAGCTCCATGGGGTCTCTTTTGAGCTCCATGGGGTCTCTTTTGAGCTCCATGGGGTCTCTTTTGAGCTCCATGGGGTCTCTTTTGAGCTCCATGGGGTCTCTTTTGAGCTCCATGGGGTCTCTTTTGAGCTCCATGGGGTCTCTTTTGAGCTCCATGGGGTCTCTTTTGAGCTCCATGGGGTCTCTTTTGAGCTCCATGGGGTCTCTTTTGAGCTCCATGGGGTCTCTTTTGAGCTCCATGGGGTCTCTTTTGAGCTCCATGGGGTCTCTTTTGAGCTCCATGGGGTCTCTTTTGAGCTCCATGGGGTCTCTTTTGAGCTCCATGGGGTCTCTTTTGAGCTCCATGGGGTCTCTTTTGAGCTCCATGGGGTCTCTTTTGAGCTCCATGGGGTCTCTTTTGAGCTCCATGGGGTCTCTTTTGAGCTCCATGGGGTCTCTTTTGAGCTCCATGGGGTCTCTTTTGAGCTCCATGGGGTCTCTTTTGAGCTCCATGGGGTCTCTTTTGAGCTCCATGGGGTCTCTTTGAGCTCCATGGGGTCTCTTTTGAGCTCCATGGGGTCTCTTTTGAGCTCCATGGGGTCTCTTTTGAGCTCCATGGGGTCTCTTTTGAGCTCCATGGGGTCTCTTTTGAGCTCCATGGGGTCTCTTTTGAGCTCCATGGGGTCTCTTTTGAGCTCCATGGGGTCTCTTTTGAGCTCCGTGGGGTCTCTTTTGAGCTCCGTGGGGTCTCTTTTGAGCTCCGTGGGGTCTCTTTTGAGCTCCATGGGGTCTCTTTTGAGCTCCGTGGGGTCTCTTTTGAGCTCCGTGGGGTCTCTTTTGAGCTCCATGGGGTCTCTTTTGAGCTCCATGGGGTCTCTTTTGAGCTCCATGGGGTCTCTTTTGAGCTCCATGGGGTCTCTTTTGAGCTCCATGGGGTCTCTTTTGAGCTCCATGGGGTCTCTTTTGAGCTCCATGGGGTCTCTTTTGAGCTCCATGGGGTCTCTTTTGAGCTCCATGGGGTCTCTTTTGAGCTCCATGGGGTCTCTTTTGAGCTCCATGGGGTCTCTTTTGAGCTCCATGGGGTCTCTTTTGAGCTCCATGGGGTCTCTTTTGAGCTCCATGGGGTCTCTTTTGAGCTCCATGGGGTCTCTTTTGAGCTCCATGGGGTCTCTTTTGAGCTCCATGGGGTCTCTTTTGAGCTCCATGGGGTCTCTTTTGAGCTCCATGGGGTCTCTTTTGAGCTCCATGGGGTCTCTTTTGAGCTCCATGGGGTCTCTTTTGAGCTCCATGGGGTCTCTTTTGAGCTCCATGGGGTCTCTTTTGAGCTCCATGGGGTCTCTTTTGAGCTCCATGGGGTCTCTTTTGAGCTCCATGGGGTCTCTTTTGAGCTCCATGGGGTCTCTTTTGAGCTCCATGGGGTCTCTTTTGAGCTCCATGGGGTCTCTTTTGAGCTCCATGGGGTCTCTTTTGAGCTCCATGGGGTCTCTTTTGAGCTCCATGGGGTCTCTTTTGAGCTCCATGGGGTCTCTTTTGAGCTCCATGGGGTCTCTTTTGAGCTCCATGGGGTCTCTTTTGAGCTCCATGGGGTCTCTTTTGAGCTCCATGGGGTCTCTTTTGAGCTCCATGGGGTCTCTTTTGAGCTCCATGGGGTCTCTTTTGAGCTCCATGGGGTCTCTTTTGAGCTCCATGGGGTCTCTTTTGAGCTCCATGGGGTCTCTTTTGAGCTCCATGGGGTCTCTTTTGAGCTCCATGGGGTCTCTTTGAGCTCCATGGGGTCTCTTTTGAGCTCCATGGGGTCTCTTTTGAGCTCCATGGGGTCTCTTTTGAGCTCCATGGGGTCTCTTTTGAGCTCCATGGGGTCTCTTTTGAGCTCCATGGGGTCTCTTTTGAGCTCCATGGGGTCTCTTTTGAGCTCCATGGGGTCTCTTTTGAGCTCCATGGGGTCTCTTTTGAGCTCCATGGGGTCTCTTTTGAGCTCCATGGGGTCTCTTTTGAGCTCCATGGGGTCTCTTTTGAGCTCCATGGGGTCTCTTTTGAGCTCCATGGGGTCTCTTTTGAGCTCCATGGGGTCTCTTTTGAGCTCCATGGGGTCTCTTTTGAGCTCCATGGGGTCTCTTTTGAGCTCCATGGGGTCTCTTTTGAGCTCCATGGGGTCTCTTTTGAGCTCCATGGGGTCTCTTTTGAGCTCCATGGGGTCTCTTTTGAGCTCCATGGGGTCTCTTTTGAGCTCCATGGGGTCTCTTTTGAGCTCCATGGGGTCTCTTTTGAGCTCCATGGGGTCTCTTTTGAGCTCCATGGGGTCTCTTTTGAGCTCCATGGGGTCTCTTTTGAGCTCCATGGGGTCTCTTTTGAGCTCCATGGGGTCTCTTTTGAGCTCCATGGGGTCTCTTTTGAGCTCCATGGGGTCTCTTTTGAGCTCCATGGGGTCTCTTTTGAGCTCCATGGGGTCTCTTTTGAGCTCCATGGGGTCTCTTTTGAGCTCCATGGGGTCTCTTTTGAGCTCCATGGGGTCTCTTTTGAGCTCCATGGGGTCTCTTTTGAGCTCCATGGGGTCTCTTTTGAGCTCCATGGGGTCTCTTTTGAGCTCCATGGGGTCTCTTTTGAGCTCCATGGGGTCTCTTTTGAGCTCCATGGGGTCTCTTTTGAGCTCCATGGGGTCTCTTTTGAGCTTTTACTCATTGATAGCCAATGGTGATACACCATGGTGACATCTTCCATATGGCACTGCCAAGCAAGCGTGATGCGTATTCATCACTAAAAGAGGTTTTCTGCTGCCATCGTCGCCATCGCCGTCGTCGCCGTCGTCGCCGTCGTCGCCGTCGTCGTCGTCGTCACCGTCGTCGTCCTCATCTGCAAATACTTCATGCATTGCTTGTGTGCCCCTTGAAAGCGTTTGAAAGATTCCAACCACACCCGCGGCACCGCATGGCAGGAATCTGAGCTCCAATCTAATCGACGCCAGCAACATCGAATATCTGGGGAGTCTTACCAGCCTCGCATCTCTGTCAGTCCACTCTGCTGCAGCATCCCTTACCCTGCGTGCACACATCACGCATGAGCATCACGCATGAAGGACCCTCTTTGTGTCGACCCACTCGGGCACGGTGTCAAGTTAAATCAAGTGTGCAAGTGGTCATGCTTCCAATATGGTCAATATGGCATTTTCCGATTTATTCTTCTCGATGCTGCCATGCATCTCTGAAGTTTAGTCCATCACCATGCTAGGGTGTAGGCCGCCTGTCTGCTTTTACGCAACAGCCTCCGTCATGTGCTGCCTCTTGTGCCAGCATCACCATGCCCGCTTCTTCTCTGTGTGTGTGTGTGTGCGCGCGCGCGCACGCGTGCGTGCGTGTGTGCACATGTCGCGTGCGCACGTGTGTGCGTGCGTGCGTACATGTGTGTGTGTGCGTGCGTACATGTGTGTGTGTGTGTGTGTGCGTGCGTGCGTACATGTGTGTGTGTGCGTGCGTACATGTGTGTGCGCGCGTGCGCATGCCTATGGCACATGCGTGGTGGGGTCGGCATGAATCGACAGGGATCTCTCGTCCAACCAGTTGAAGGGAGACCAAGTGCTGCCCAACATCACACTGCCCACCTTGCAGGTCTTGTACGTGCTTCAGGCGGATACCCCTGCTCATGCTGCACTCAATACTGCCGTGCCATTCATCCTCTGTGGTATCGAGGGAAACCGTTGCACTAGTTTGTGCAAACACCACTGCTGCTGCTGCTGCTGCTGCAACCGTTCTTTGCCATGCATAGCACCTGCCGTAGCACCTGCCGTAGCACCTGCCGTAGCACCTGCCGTAGCACCTGCCGTAGCACCTGCCGTTGCACCTGCCGTTGCACCTGCCGTTGCACCTGCCGTTGCACCTGCCGTTGCACCCCGCCGTTGCACCTGCCGTTGCACCTGCCGTTGCACCTGCCGTAGCACCTGCCGTAGCACCTGCCGTTGCACCTGCCGTTGCACCTGCCGTTGCACGTGCCGTTGCACCTGCCATTGCACCTGCCGTTGCACCTCACCCTGTTTCTGCATTCCCCACGCGTGAAGCTTCTCCTTCTCCTGCTCTCTACATTCGTGCAATCAAGTAAAACTTATAGTGTTTCCATGCCCCCTCTCATGCTCGTGTCCCCTCCTCATTGCATGCGTGTGCCATCAGGAATGTTTCAAACAACGAACTGGCTGGAAGTCTACCCAAATCCCTCACAACCATGACTAACCTTGTCAGCCTGTGAGTTTTCGTACAGACGCTTGTATCTCCTGCTCCTATGCCTGTTCCATTTGAATACCTCGTTACAGTAGCCAGGGTTAGCTACAGTACTCAAATCCATTCCTACCTAATCCCTCTATTCTCCACAACTTGCATGTGTGCAGAAACGTCGCTTACAACTTTATGAAAGGAACCATTCCCTCGGTCCTGGGAGAGTTGCACAAGCTCTCATCTTTGTACGTATTACGTGTGAACAAAATTACTGTTCATGAGTCTTGTAGCAGCTAGCTAAGCCGCATCTAGCTAAGCAGCATCTAACTAAGCAGCATCTAGCTAAGCTACATCTAGCTAAGCAGCATATAGCTAAGTAGCATCTAGCTAAGAAGCATCGATTTAAGCAGCATCTAGGTCATGGGTACATTTTCTGAAGTAAATGGTCAAGGCAGGTCAATTCGGCTTCATGAAAAGCAGCTTGAAGGAAAAGAGCCTGTACCCGCTCCATTCTCTAGGTTCAAGGCCTTGCAATGGAGGAATAGAGCAAAGGAGCGAGGCTCACCACTGAGGGGATTCATAATGATTCCCCTTTTTTCAAGGCAATCCTTCTTTTTCCCCTTTCTCCTCGGCTTGGCATAATCAGAGACACCGACACCAGCGGACTCACATGCCCTGACAGCTACAGCAGCTGCGGTGTGCCTCAGAATTCTACCTCTGGCTTCTGCCTCACCTGCCCTGACTTCTGCGCCACATGTGAGCCCTTATCTGAACGCTTTTGATTTTGGTGTTTTTTTTGTTCCGAGTCACTCCCTTTCGAGGTTTTATGCAATGAACCTCTGAGAATTCCTCAACGGACAAACGAGGCCGCCCAGCAGGAAACCTGCACGGGGCAGAAAAAATGCTAAAACCCATAAGGAAGGCATGCCACCTTGGGGAGGCATCCACCCTAGACACCTTGTCGCATGGAGTTTAGGGTTGTTTCCTCCCTCGGATGCATGCTAGCCGAGAAGGTATTAGTTTTCTGCCCGGGGTTAGCAGGTCAACGGTCGACGGTATGTCGACGGTACCATTTCCCTGGCAAATCGGTCCGTTGACCGTTGTACCCTCTTTACGTTGATGGAAAAAAAAATAATAACTTGTACAAGCACTCGAACCTCTCTATCTGTGTGCAGGTGACAAACCCAAACCTGCAGCGCCAAATACAGAAACATCCAAGTCAGGATTCCCCATTTCGGCGGTCATTGTGATTGTCATTGCTGGAGTTGCTGCTGCCGTGGCCCTCGCTGTCATTCTCTACTACCGCTTCTTTTACAGTGAGTAGCCTCGGAGTTACTTTCTCGGCAATTCTGTGCTGCTCTGCTCCTCACTCTTGTGCGCTCTTGTGGGCTTGTAGTACCAATAAGATGACAAGGAGAAACGCCAACCTATTACAAGGTGACTTTAGAGTCGGCTCAAAAGTCACCTACTACTACATTTGCTTTCACTTATTCTTCTTACCTCCCCGGTTGTCCAAAATCTCCTCCTCCTCATAGGGCATATTAGAAGCAATGTGCCGCCGCATGTGTGTGCGGTATCCGCTGCTGGTGGTGGCGAGAGCAACCAACGGATGGTCCGAGGACAACCTGCTGGGCGAGGGGGGCTTTGGCAAGGTCTACCGTGCCGTGTCTCCCACCGATGGTGCCACGCCGTGGGCCGTGAAGCGAGCCACGACCATCACCAATGACTTTGACAACGAGGTGTGCGTGTGTGATGTGTGTGCGTTTCTGTGTGACTGTGTGTATGCATGTTTCTGTGCGTGTGTGTGCGTGCGTGCATGCGTGCGTGCGTGTGTGAGTGTGTGTATGCGTGTTTCTCTGTGTGTGTGTGTGTGTGTGTGTGTGTGCGTGCGTGCGTGCGTGCGTGGGTGCGTGTGTTGATGTGTGTGCGTGCGTGTGTGAGTGTGTGTATGCGTGTTTCTGTGTGTGTGTGTGCGTGCCTGCGTGTGTGCGTGCGTGGGTGTGGGTGGGTGTGTGGGTGTGTGTGTGTGTGTGTGTGTGTGCGTGCGTGCGTGTGTGTGTGTGTGTGTGTGCGTGCGTGTGTAGGTGTGTGTGTGTGTGAGAGAGAGCGTGAATGTGCGAGCACGCAAGCGTTCGCACGCGTGTATATGTGTATTGTGGTGCTGGTATGCGGCCTCATGCACGATTGGTTCTTTATTCAGAGTGGCCAGCCCGTGGCATCGCGGCATGGCATGCGATTGCATGAACATACTGTTGGTGCATGTCATTTTATGACACAGTGTGAGGTCCCACGGGTCCTCACTCATCGGGAAAGACCTGCAAAACATATGACACACGAATGTTTTTCGCATGGCTTTTCATGACACAGTGACTGTCTTGAGGCATGTGTAACATGACATACTTGCTCTGCCTTTGTCCCTGACTGGCAGGTGTGTGAGATGGCCACAAAAGACCACCCCAACGTCGTGCGACTGCTTGGCTACGCCATTGGCATCACCGGCAAGATAAGGGTGGAGCAAATCCTCATCTACGAGCTCATGCCCCACAAGGATCTCTCCTGCTGGATCGGAAAAAGTATGATTCTGGAATAGTGAGCTGCTACTAGCTCCTATGCATGCACTGGATCGGAAAAGGTGTGCATTATGCACTGGTGAGCTCCTATGCATGCACTGGTGTGCATTATGGCCGTGCACATGTGGTGCTCTGCCACAGTTAGCGCTTTCGGAACAAAAACAGAGCCGGGTTCAACTTCAAAGGTCACCGTTCATCTGCCCTTGCAGGTGTTCCTCTTCACACATGTCTCCTTCTCCTTGCCTACGTCTCTTGGTCTTCTCTCTCCACCCTTCCTTTCCTATCCTGTGCGTGCGCCCTGCAGAGGCAGCAACGCCGCTGAGCTTTGAGCAGCGGGTGGGCGTGCTGGTGGGGGCGGCACGCGGCTTTAAGTATCTCCACAGCTTCGACATTGTGCACCGGGACATCAACCCCAGAAACATTCTCCTCGGCCAAACCATGCAGGCAAGTTGACTTCTGAGTCGACTCAAAAGCCCGCCAACATCCTGCTCGACCAAACCAGGCAATGAAGCCATGTTGCATCGCTTTCACAGCTCCCCATGCATTGGCCTGTGTGTATGCCCGTTGTACTTAGTTTGCGAGTGCATGCTAAGGTACGTTGTCTTCTATGCATGAGTGCAGGCCAAGATTTCTGACTTTGGATTTGTGAGGAAGAGTGGGGCCACCACCAAGACGCGGTTGGTGGGACAAGTGGGCTATATGGACCCCTCCTATATTGCAACCAACATGGCCACCACTGCCACCGATGTCTACAGGTGAGCAACAACCCTTTAATCGCTCCAGCTAGTTTCACTGTACTACCTGGCGTGTCCCATGCATTCCTCTCCGCTGCCCTCCTCTCCTCTCCTCACTCGTCGATGGGGTGTCGTGGTGTGCAGCTTTGGCATTGTCATGCTTGAGGTGATGACGGGCCGCCCCGCCAAGGCAGATTCTGTTGACGTTCCCTCCAATGAAGAGGCGGATCAGCAACTGCACATCCTTCCCTGGGTATGTCACTAGAGAGTGCCTCCGTAGCCGAAATTTTGCTCTTCGTTCTCACAAATGCACGTGCCTTCATTGTCTCATCTTGAAACCTGCTTCTTCTGCTCCAGGTCCAGCAGCAGCTTCAATTTGGCGGCAGTGAGGCAGTGGCAGGCCTCAAGGACCTACGCATGGAGGCGCGGGATGAGTTGGTGTTGAGGGTGGTACAGCTGGCACTGCGATGCACTGCCATGCCGAGCGCCACGCGGCCTGCCATGGCGGTGATTGCAGCCGAGCTGGAGGTTGTGCTGGTGGAGCTGGCCAACGCTCGTAGCAACTCCGCCGCCCATCAGGTGGACCAGCAGGTGGAGTCGCAAAGACAGCCATCTTTGGATTTGGATGAGGAGATGGCGCGTGTGAATGCATTTGGTTGAAGGCACCTGATAGTTCACAGCTGTGTCACAGCATTTTGACGCTAGTTTTTCCTAGGTAGACCCATGTTTTGCCTTTCTTAGAGTACATGGCTAGCTAGGTCGTTTCGTCTTCCCTGTACTCATATTTATATTTGCTGTATTTGTGTGTTTTAATCATCTCAAAGCATTTTACATTCACTCTGCTATTGAGGTCAAGGGCCCACCAACACTACCTTATGCGTGTGAACCTTCCCGAGTAGATCCTGGCAGCGATCAACAACTGATCGCAGCATGGTATCAGAGCGGCTCGGGAATCCTTCGCACTACCACTCCCGAAAATTGCGACATTCGGAAAGTGGCGTCCGGCACACGCTCGCGTGTGAGAATGGCCGGAGGATCTGGTGGTCAGACCAATCTAACGGCTGAAGCGCAAACCAATCCGGCTGCGACAAGCGAGGAAACGACGACGATCGGCACCGAAGTCCTCGCACAACTTCTTCAGCGACTCACCAGCCTGCAGCAATGGCTCCAAGCATTGCAGAACGACGATGCGGGAACATCCTCGCAACCATCTCAACCGGCCCCAACTGGCCAGAACACCACTCCGCAAACTTTCTCCCTCGACACAAATGCTTCAACTCCCAAGGCTCCCCGTCCCAGTGAAGAGGCAATTCTCTCAGCACAGTCAAGGTTTCTCAGCATATCAAAAATAAAGACAAGTACCTGCTTTGACGGCAGAGATTTCTATACCTGGAGCTTCGAACTGGAGCTCCTGCTGCAGAACGCCCAAATCTTCCATTACTTCGACGGGAGCTACGCGGAACCCGCTGAGGACACCGACGACGCCAGGACTCGCTATTACAACAAGTCCCTGATGGCGTACGGGATCCTTCTGCGCAACATGTCGCCGACGGAGCAGCTAAACATCCGTTCATACAAGACATCGGCTGCCCCAGCCCTCGACGCTTGGCGCCACCAACGGTGTGTATCAGCCCAAGGACTCCGTCTCTTTGAGCCGACTACTCCAGCAGTTGCTAGAGACTAAAATGACCTCAGGGGAGAAGGTCAATAGCTACATCAATCGCTGTCGGAGCCTTCGCAATCAAATCGTGAAGTTGGGAAGTTCGATCTCGGAGGAAATCTTCATGAACATCGTACTTCAAGGGCTCGGCCCAGAGTGGCGGCCCTGTAAGGCGCTTCTCCGACAGCAGGGGGTCATCTCGGAGGCCGCCCTTTGCGCCACCCTTCTCATAGTCCGCGCCACGACTTCACCGACGACGACGACCAGGACTGGAATCTCCCAGTCCCGCTGCTTGAAAGTCCCCCGCACGTACCTGATATGCGGGTGGCGCCGTGACGACAACAAGCGCTACAACACCTGGTACCTGGACAGCTGCTGCGGCCAGCACATGGTGGGCTCGGAGCATATCCAACGCCGTCGCCACCCCCACAGTCACTTACGTCACCGTGGCTAACAACACACGCCTGCGCGCAAGCGCGCAAGGCATCGTCGTGCTCAAGGCACGCGGAAGCCGCACGCACATCACGCTCAACGATGTGCTGATCGTCCAGAACCTGCGCTTCAACCTGCTCTCCGCCGCACAGCTCATGGACTGCGGCGTTGACCTCAGCACGGATCGCGCGACGCGCGACATTCTGCTGCACTACGAATCGCGCAACTTTCCCCGCAGGCAGATCGGACGAGCGCACTCCGAAAATGGAGTGTATGTCCTGGATTTCGACATTCCCGACTACAGCGCCGACTCGCACGAGTTAATTGATCTCGTGCCACTGCGCTTCGAGCACATCCACCGCAGGGATTGGAAGCACCCTGACAGCAAACCGTGGGTGCCGCATCATCCCCACCCACGCGAAACGGCGCTGCACGACCCTGACCCAGACGGCATCTGCAGGGATTGTCACACGCCGACGGCGTCAACCAGCGCAATTGCCGGCCGCGGACTCGCCGCCATCGCCGAAGCAGAGCGCCACGCGCCGCCAGAAGAAGGGATGTCGCAGCTCGAACTTGAAGTCACCACACACAGCGTGTTCGGCACGCCTGAGCACCCTCTCATCGGTCCCCCCTCACAAAACCTTCAAGGCATGTTGCGCGGAACTGGCGTCAGAACATTCGATGCCAATGGCGTGCCCGACCCTACACCTACGAGAAGTTTCTGGACATCTACTCCCATTGGCACGACTCGTTGAAGAAACTTACCGTGGAACAGGAAGAAGAATTGGCGCGGCACGAAGCTGAGGAGCTTCGCGAGCAAAGCCTCGCCGAAGCACGCGGGACATTCGCTTGCGGCGCGTGGGGAGCCGAAGCGGAAGAAAGCGCCTCCAATGAAGGGGGGTGGGGAAGCGCTGGCGGATGGGGAACAAGCGACACCGGCGGATGGGGAGACAACGGCGGAACCTGGGCCAACGCAAGCGGCGGATGGGGCGCCGCAACTGGCGCCGACAATAGCGGTTGGGGGACGTTCCGCGAGAACGAAGGGGGGGAGAGGATGAAGCAGAGGAAACTGAGACAACACCTGCAGTCGTTCCTCTTGGTCGTCCCTCGCGCCATACCCCACTCGCACTACCTCCTCCTGACAACCCACCGCGCCGCGATCCATGGGACACCATCGTCTGGGGCAACGAGCCGTCAACCCCGCGTCGCACCGTCTACGGACCTGCTCCCGAACCGCGCGAACCCACCTTTGTCCCAGGAACCATCCCTGGAACCAATATTCCCCTCTCTGAGATTCGCGACAGAGAGTTTCTGGCGCTAATGCTGACTACTGCCAACGACGAAGAAGAAGCAGCAGGAGAAGCAGCAGCAGAACCTGTTCCTACACCTGACGAAGACCCCGAAGAAGCTCGCGCGCGCTACATGCGCACTTCCGGCTTTCGCGCTGACGATGCACTCTGGCACCAGCGCCTCGGACATCCTTCACGCGCGACGCTGAAAAACTGCATCGACGCGGGTGTCTTCGCCCCTGAAGCACTCCTACGCCCAGATGGCACTGAAGTAAGAGGCGCAACACATCCGCGCAACTACACCGTCTGTCCTGAAGCTGCACTGAGCCACCAACCGTTCCCGCTGCTCGAGCCAGGAACGAACCGCTACCCCAAGCTGCACAAGGTGTACAGCGACTTCCTGAACGTGGGGCACAACGGAGTCGACGACGAACTATATACACTCACCTTCATCGACGCTGGAACGCGCTATGTGTGGGTCGTGAACGTGGAAACCCGCGACAGAGCTTACGAGGTGTTCCGCCTCTGGCTGGCGCATACGCAGTGGCAATCTGGGAAGAAGCTGAAAATCTAGCAATCTGACTGTGCGGCAGAGTTTAGGAGCAATCAAATGCAGAGCTACCTGGCGCAAAAGGGGATCGAGCATCACATTTCTATCCCCTACGCGCACCAACAGCAGAGCATAGCTGAGCGGACGAACCGCACGCTCATGACGAAGGTGCGGGCGCTGATGAAGCAGTCAAAGCTGCCGCCGATCTACTGGACCTACGCGATGCACCACGCCGTGCGGGTGCACAACCTGCTTTCAACCACCGCAATCACCGGCAACCTCTTCTCGCATGTCAAGTGGACCAGAACTAAGGTGGATACGTCCATGCTCCGCGTCTGGGGGTGCATGGCGCAATACCGCCCGCCGACATCAACCATCGGCAAATTCGCCAGCCGCGCTCGCTGGGGCATTCGCCTCGGCATCAGCCACGAGCACAGAGCATGGATCGTGCTGGACCTCCTCAGTCAGAAAACCGCCCACGCTCGCGACGTAATCTTCTACGAACGCCTCTTCCTCGACCAATTCCGTCACGACGAGGAAACGAACGCGAATCGCGTTTACGCGAACGACGGGCACAGCTACGCAACACCCGAAGACGAAGCCGCTGCAGCAATCCTGGAGCAGGACACTAGGGGCGAGTTCACATGGGAAGATCGGCGCAGCAGCGACGACGACGACGACGATTCCTCAGGAGGAGGAATGGGCGGAACAGGCGGAAGCGGCAGAGGCGCAGCACCACCAGCGCCACCTGAACCAGAGAGCGATGACGACGATGTGCAGGAAGTCATCCCGCAACGTCGCCACGATAGCACTGTTTCAGGATTGCAGCTGCTCGGGCTTCACACCGCAACCTCAAAGGCGCCACGTGTCATCGAGCCCCGAAACCCGCGTGAAGCTCTCTCTGGACCTCACAACAAGGAATGGCGCGAGGCGATGGACGCGGAGATTAAGGCGCTCGAGTCCCGAGACACCTGGGTGTTAGTCGACCGTGCGGCAATCAAAGGCGCAAGAATCCTCTCGGGCAAGTGGGTCTTCCGCGTGAAGACCGCAGCGGATGGAACGATCGAGCGCTTCAAGGCGTGTTGGGTGGTGCGCGGCTATGACCAGAGGCATGGCATCGACTTCGACCAGACGTTCGCTCCAGTCAGCCGCCACACCTCCGTTCGAATCTTGCTCGCCATCGCAATTGCAAGGCACCTGCCACTCTGCCAGGTCGACATGAAAAACGCGTTCCTGTATGCATTAGTAGACGCCGTGATCTATGTGGAGCAGCCGCACACATACGGCGAAGGGGACTCGCGCGTGTGTCAACTGCGTAAGTCAGTCGCTCTACGGGATCAAGCAGGCACCGAGGCTGTGGCAGCAGTATCTGCACAACATCCTGCTTGAAATTGGGTTCAAGCAGATGCCCCACGATCTAGAGATGTATCGCCGCGGAATACATTCTTCTCACGGTTTACGTCGACGACCTGCTCTACACAGGCTCAAACAACGAGCTACTCGAGCAGTTCGAGAAGGCTTTGGCGGGGCGCGTCGACATCACATGCAACTACGAGGTGAAGCAGTTCTTAGGCCTCAACATCTCCTACGCGCCTGAGGCCATTCACCTTTCAGCGGCTAAGTACGCAGAGGAGTTAGGGAAGCGGTTCAACATTTCACCTGCACCCCTCTCAACTCCCTACCGAACCCCTGGACCAATCTCCTGGAACTCACAGAAGCAGGAGCTGGTTGCCCTGTCGTCAGCCGAAGCAGAATTCATCGCAGCAACCGCAGCAGTTCGCGAAGGCCTCTACTTGCAGGAACTCCTGCAGGAAGCGAAAATTCCAGCTTCGCCCATCTCTCGTCTTCACTGCGACAACCAGAGCGCGATTCGCATCGCGAACAAACCTGGTTTCGTCAACCGCACCAAGCACATTGCGCTGCGGTATTTCTTCGTGAAGGACGAGGTGGACAAGGGCAAGGTCAACTTGACCTATTGCCCGACCGGTGACATGGCAGCAGACTTCCTCACGAAGCGACTGCCACGCCAGCAGTACCAACACTGCTCCGAACTCAGCGGCGTGGTCAAACAGGTCAAGTCGAGCTACGGCCAGGAGTGAAGGGGGGTGTTACGAATAGTAATATTTGATTATTACTGTGCACTCCTCACCGCAGCAAAGAGAAGCATGCAGTATCGAGAACGAATGCGAAGAGTCAGAGTTGACTCGAAGCGTCAGACGGTTAAGGCGCATCTGGACCGTCGGAGCAGACGGGATCGGGCAGCTGCAGGCGCGAGGGTTTTGGCGGGAACAGTTTCGTAACTGTACGCGCCGCACGGTTGGGAATGAATTTGAATAAGGAAATGTACCCCTTAGAGTACATGGCTAGCTAGGTCGTTTCGTCTTCCCTGTACTCATATTTATATTTGCTGTATTTGTGTGTTTTAATCATCTCAAAGCATTTTACATTCACTCTGCTATTGAGGTCAAGGGCCTACCAACACTACCTTCTGCGTGCGAACCTTCCCGAGTAGATCCTGGCAGCGATCAACAACTGATCGCAGCAATAATAATTATAATTTTTAAACACATTCGTGTTTTTCAAAATTGTGTATTGTGAAAGCGAAGCTGCCTGTACCGAATATTTGGCAGCGTCGAAGCGCGCTAAACGCCCTTCTCCAACTACAAAAACCGTGGGTTGGAGTTCATTTCCCTCCACCCACGTTTCTCTATTTTCAACGGCTCTATCAACATTCCCACCACCCACCCCAGGGCTATCTTTCGTACTACAGTCACTTGGACGGTTGGCTCCATAGCTAGTATAGTTCAGTATGTACTTGCATGTGTTTTAGAACGATGCAATGTTGTAATAGGCCAGTTGCAATGAGAACGATGCCAAATTACAAGGAACAGAAAGCAAGCTTTCTCAATAAATACAATAACACAAGACATGGCATGGCCTTGGTAAGCATCAACCTACCGGTAGTAGAACTTGCCCCATGGTTACAGCGTGTTGCACGAGTCCGGCCAAAAATTGCCCCTGTATGCTCCACATTTTTAACGAGGGATGATCTTGAAACAAGGACCAGGTGCGTATTATGTAGATGCACACAATTTTACCACTTTGCTAGGTCAGTCACCGTTGGCACTTCTAGGGCTAAATCTTGGGTGCACAACCATTGCTGTTACATTCCGAGAGTTCCATTTCATGAACATTTCGCGAGCTTCGCCAAAAGGTTATTGTCGCGCCAGTTCAGGACCAATAATTGCTGGTCAGGTTGTACGCTTCCCAGTTTACTCTTTGTAGATCAGGACGGTTCCACACGGTGGAAGGCGGTTTTCAATGTCACCGTTCTGCATCGCGTAGAAACGAACTAAACCACAGAGAACGTAATTGGGTTGTGCGATCTGACCACGGCATCAGTGTGTGACACGCTTGCCACGACACAGAAATAATTGCGGAGCGTGTTGTTTCCTATCAAGAAGGGTAACGGATTGCTCGTTATTTCTGGGGGGAAGCTTCCGCGCGCGGCAGGCGACGCGGAGAGACATAATGGCAGCAGGGGGAGTGGCCGAGATCAGATTGCCATTCCATTATAGACACGATACCCTGCCTTGTTCCCAACGGCGTGATCTGCCTTCTCGCAATGCTCTTCTCCTGCTCTGCTCTCTGCTGCTCCCTGCTCCGTCACTTCCCTGTCTCCGTCAACGAGAACGCCAGGCAAGGCGGAATAGCGCGTGCCGTCCGTGTGGAAGCACCATCTCGGAGCAAGCCCAAGTCAAATCGTCCCACCAAAACGAGCTGTACTCTTGTTTGTGTTCTCATACTACGAGCCCCGCTTTTGCAACGAACCCCCGCTTTTGCAACGAGCCCCGCTTACGCAACGAGCCCCGCACGCGCTTCGAGCCCCGCATACGCTACCAGGAGTTCAACACGCATCGAGCTCTCCCCTCGCGCCTTAATAATAATAACGCACACCTGTGCGCATCGCGAGAGACGTCCCTTTTAGGCCGTCCGACTGCCACGTGGCGGTAGAGTTAGAAATCCGACACGCAGGCTGGTGGTCTTGATCCGTCGGTTGCCGAACAAGGGTAGGAACGGCTTTCCAGAAAAGACCGCCAAGCCTGCTGCTCCAAGTCGTCCCTCCCATCGCAGTCAGGCGGACGCCTCAACGTGCCGGCTATGGCGGTGCATCGCGGCTCCCGTCGCGGTCTCTTGGCGCTCGTCGCGGCGATCGCATGCTTCTGCTGCCTGCCGTGCACGTCGCTCGCACAACCCATCGCTGAATCGCAAGGTGCGCTGGTCGTAAGGTGCGTTGGTCGCAAGGCGCGTTGGTCGCTCTCCTTGATTCCACACCGAACGCAATCAGTCACCCTTATGAGACTGAACTCAACCTCCTCAGCCTTTTTGCTGTCTCTGTTGCTGTCGCTGTTGCTGTCGCTCGCGGGCAGGTGAGGTGCTGCAGGAGTTGCAGAAGTCGTGGAACACAAACATCTCAAGCTGGCAGGCGGGGAGCGACTGCCAGCAAGCGCAAGGCCTCACATGCGACTCAGACGGCATGATCACCTCCATGTGAGTCCGCATTCTGCTCTGCTGCTGAGCCGTTCTGTGCCATTCCGTCCTGCACTGCACCGTGCCACACACATTGCTAGCTGCTATCGTTGTTTTGGCCTCCCTAAGTTACCCCTCCACCACATGTTAGCAAAGCCCTGCAATTCCCCGCCTGTAGACGCAAGGACCCGCATCCATCCTGGCTTTCATGCCTTCAAGTCATTCAGGGTAGGCTCCCTTGCTCTCTAACGCCCCTTTAAGCGTCCATACGTCCAGTTGTCCATACGTCCAGTCGTCCATACGTCCAGTCGCCCAGTCGTCCAGTCGTCCAGTCGTCCAGTCGCCCAGTCGTCCAGTCGTCCAGTCGTCCAGTCGCCCAGTCGTCCAGTCGTCCAGTCGTCCAGTCGTCCAGTCGCCCAGTCGTCCAGTCGTCCAGTCGTCCAGTCGCCCAGTCGTCCAGTCGTCCAGTCGCCCAGTCGTCCAGTCGTCCATACGTCCAGTCGTCCAGTCGTCCAGTCGACCAGTCGTCCAGTCGTCCAGTCGTCCAGTCGCCCAGTCGTCCAGTCGCCCAGTTGCCAGGCAGCCATTTGTGAGTCCGGCCCATCCCGCACGCGAGCACAAACAAGCACCCGTTTCTCCCGCGAACAGCATCCACAATCCCTCTACCATATGAACTCCCATTTCCCCCTCCAACGCCCATCCTAAACCCTGTGCTGTGCACAGGCGCCTCGACACGCCTTCTGCGGCCAACTTCTCTGCTGTCACCTCCGTCACTCGGCTGTCGGCCCTCACCCAGCTGTACGCCCCTGCTCGGGGTTGTTAGTTACTTGTGCGCTGCACTGCACTCTCACTTACGCTGCTCTGAGGCAGTCGATTGTGAAGTGCTGAGCTGAAATATGTGGTGGGTGGGTGGGTGTGTGCGCACGTGTGTGCGTGCATGCATGCGGGCAGGCAGGAGGAGGAGGGGGTTGCCATGCCGAGTGGATTCTGAGCTTCACGGGCGCTCTTCACCGTTCACCATTCACCAATTACCATTCACTCACCAATCACCCATCAACAATCAACAGTCACCATTCACCCCACAATCACTGTTCACAAATCTCCATTCTCCCTTCACCATTCACCGTTCACCACTCATCATTCGCAATTCGCCATTCCTCATCATCATCGTGATCATCATTGTCGCTATTATGAATGGTTACTGCTGCTGAGTGCACACCTCCCAATCTTGGCTCTGCGCTAGAGTAACGCCGCCACTTCCTCTGCTCACCGGTCCCTTCCCACCCCTACATGTGTGACTCCGTAAATCACTTTCCTTACTTCCGTGTTTCCCACATGTGACACACACAGGGAGGTTTCACAAGTGCCCCACATCCCACAGGGGTCCCTCTACAATCTCACCTGGCTCATGTCCCTGTGAGTCCCCACCTAGAATTGGGAAGGCTGCATTTGCTGGTGTGGTGGCACATTATGAGAGTTTTTAAAACATGCCTGCAACACAAATGAAGGTCGATGCTGCTTTGCCTGGTGCATTTGACTTGCTTGTGCATCTGATTTTCCTGCTGCATCTGCTGCCTGGTGCGTTTATTTTTGCAGGGCAGTGGACTGCTCGCCGTACAATGGTGATCCCATCCCCGATGGCGTGGCCAACCTCACCCAGCTCACCAGGCTGTAAGCACGTGCTTGTTTGTGCCCGTCTCTCACTGCGCTTGCTGAGCATTGCGAGTAGCATTGTGAGTAGCATTGCGAGTAGCATTGTGAGTGAGCCCCACGACCGCATGTACGCAGTTGAGAGGAGCAGTTAGCATGACATTACATGGCACAGCATCACGTTGGGTTGCACAGACATGCCTGGCACTGCATGGCATGGAATGGGGTGGCGTGACATGGCATGGCATGGCATGACATGGGGAAGGTGGGGAAGCCATGGCATTGCTTCATATGCTGTTCTCCCCTATGAATTACACATGGTGTGTATGTTGTGTTGCATGACCCACAGGAGAATTGGCAACTGTGGTTTTGGCGATTACCAACTGGACAAAGTCACTAGGATCACAAACCTTTTGGAACTGTAAGCTCCACACCTGTTCCCCACGCCCGTTCCCCACGCCCGTTCCCCACGCCCGTTCTCCACACCAGTTCTCCACTCCCGTTCTCCACATCTATTACCCCAAAGCCCTTACAACATCAGTCCTCGTAACCCCCTGCGTGCTCCTATTGGCTGTACCAGTGGGCGTGCTCGCCTTCGCGGCTCCCTTTCGCCTCTCCCCGTTACTGCGCCCTTCCCGTCTCTCCTCCCCTTTGTGGCCGCCCGTCGGTGGTTCTTTGCATTGCGCATGTCAGCACAGCCCCACTCACCGCCTGCTCTTCCGCTTGTGTACTGCTCATCACCAATCATCCCTGACTGACCCAACCAAATGCACGCCGCCTGTGCAGCGAGCTGCCGTCAACCAACATATGGTACACGGGAAACATCACCAGCACCAAATTCCCCAGGCTCCTGAAACTGTACGACGCCATTCACCTGTGCCCCCTGCCGTGCTGTACCATCAGGTGTTTGTCCCCTCCCCAGCACCACCTCCGTGTATTTCAGACAAAGGGCGCACCAGCCTTCAGCATTGAATGGTGCATGAGGAAGAAAGAAGCGTGTGCTGGAGATTCGTGGAATCTCTGTGAGCGGTGTCTTGATCATTGCCTGTGATGCTCTGCATCCCTCCCAGTGGCAGCTCTCACTTGTGTGCCACGTGATCGTGGTCAGTATTCATCACTCATGAGGCTTTCTGCTGCCATAATCACCGATATCATCACCATCACCATCACCATCACCATCACCATCACCACCACCATCACCATGTCAGTCCGCACACAGCATTCCATTCTCCTCGTTCACAAGTTGCATCCCCCATCACCATGCTCCGCTAGTGTCATTGAAAGCGCTGAAAGCGCTGAAAGAATCCCACACACCCTTGCTGTACCGCATTTCAGGGATCTGAGCTCCAACCAGATTCAGTCATACAACACGGTCTACCTCAAGACTCTGACCGGCCTCACATCTCTGTCAGTCCACTCCACTCCACTCCGCTGCATCATCCCGTATCCTAGGCGCGCACACATCGTGTGTGACAGGACCCGATTCAACTCCTTTGTCTAAACTCTCGGGCATCAGTCTGATTCAACTCAATTTGAATCAATTCAGTTTAAATCAAAAGTGCAACTGGCCATGCGTTCAACCAGTCTAGTCATCCAATTCTATCATTTCTCCCTTGCCATGCCTCTCTGGAGGTCATTCTAACACCGTGCCTACCTTTTTGCCTGTCAGGTTTTATCCACCATCCTGCTCGAAGTGCTTCCCCGTGTGCCTGCATGACCGTGCCCAACATGCCGGTTTCTGTTCTCTGTGTGCGTGCGTGCGTGCGTGCGTGCGTGCGTGCGTGCGTGCGTGCGTGCATGCTTGTTGCACTTGTGTGGCGCCTTCTGCATCAACCAACAGGGATCTCGCACACAACAAGCTAAGCGGCGACCAAGTGCTGCCCGACATCACCTTTCCCACCTTGCGATTCTTGTACGTGCTGCCATTCTTGTATGTGCTGCGATTCTTGTACGTGCTGCCATTCTTGTACGTGCTGCGATTCTTGTACGTGCTGCCATTCTTGTATGTGCTGCGATTCTTGTACGTGCTGCCATTCTTGTACGTGCTGCGATTCTTGTACGTGCTGCCATTCTTGTACGTGCTGCGATTCTTGTACGTGCTGCCATTCTTGTACGTGCTGCGATTCTTGTACGTGCTGCCATTCTTGTACGTGCTGCGATTCTTGTACGTGCTGCCATTCCTGTACGTGCTGCGATTCTTGTACGTGCTGCCATTCTTGTACGTGCTGCGATTCTTGTACGTGCTGCCATTCTTGTACGTGCTGCCATTCTTGTACGTGCTGCCATTCTTGTACGTGCTGCGATTCTTGTACGTTTGTACGTGCTGCCATTCTTGTACGTGCTGCCATTTCTCCCATCAATTGTGTGTGTGCTTTGATGGATCGATACCTTGCTGTGCGGCTCATGCTGCAATTCTATGGTGCACTCCCCTCTCTCTGCTATTGATTCAATCCGTTATGCTGGTTCATGCACGCGCGCACCACTGCTGCTGACGCCGCAAACATTTTCCCCTTTCCATTGCACCTGTCCCCGTCTCTCGTCCGTGCACATAGAGGTGGGATTTGTGGACTTTGCATCCCACTCGTGGAGCTTCCCTGATCCGCGTCTACATTTGTGGGGTTCAAATTTATTCCTTCATGTTTCCATCCCCCCCTCTCATCCTCCATCCCCCTGTCTCATCCTCCATCCCCCTGTCTCATCCTCCATCCCCCCCTCTCATCCTCCATCCCCCTGTCTCATCCTCCATCCCCCTGTCTCATCCTCCATCCCCCCCTCTCATCCTCCATCCCCCTGTCTCATCCTCCATCCCCCTGTCTCATCCTCCATCCCCCTGTCTCATCCTCCATCCCCCTGTCTCATCCTCCATCCCCCTGTCTCATCCTCCATCCCCCTGTCTCATCCTCCATCCCCCTGTCTCATCCTCCATCCCCCCCTCTCATCCTCCATCCCCCTGTCTCATCCTCCATCCCCCTGTCTCATCCTCCATCCCCCCCTCTCATCCTCCATCCCCCTGTCTCATCCTCCATCCCCCTGTCTCATCCTCCATCCCCCTGTCTCATCCTCCATCCCCCTGTCTCATCCTCCATCCCCCTGTCTCATCCTCCATCCCCCTGTCTCATCCTCCATCCCCCTGTCTCATCCTCCATCCCCCTGTCTCATCCTCCATCCCCCTGTCTCATCCTCCATCCCCCCCTCTCATCCTCCATCCCCCTGTCTCATCCTCCATCCCCCTGTCTCATCCTCCATCCCCCTGTCTCATCCTCCATCCCCCTGTCTCATCCTCCATCCCCCTGTCTCATCCTCCATCCCCCTGTCTCATCCTCCATCCCCCTGTCTCATCCTCCATCCCCCCCTCTCATCCTCCATCCCCCTGTCTCATCCTCCATCCCCCTGTCTCATCCTCCATCCCCCTGTCTCATCCTCCATCCCCCTGTCTCATCCTCCATCCCCCTGTCTCATCCTCCATCCCCCCCTCTCATCCTCCATCCCCCTGTCTCATCCTCCATCCCCCTGTCTCATCCTCCATCCCCCTGTCTCATCCTCCATCCCCCTGTCTCATCCTCCATCCCCCTGTCTCATCCTCCATCCCCCTGTCTCATCCTCCATCCCCCCCTCTCATCCTCCATCCCCCTGTCTCATCCTCCATCCCCCTGTCTCATCCTCCATCCCCCTGTCTCATCCTCCATCCCCCTGTCTCATCCTCCATCCCCCTGTCTCATCCTCCATCCCCCCTCTCATCCTCCATCCCCCTGTCTCATCCTCCATCCCCCCCTCTCATCCTCCATCCCCCCGTGCCGCCCTCTCATGGTCCATGCCCACCTCGCATGACATGCATGTGCCATCAGAAATCTTTCCAACAACCAACTGAATGGTACTCTCCCGGAATATCTCACATCCATGACTAACCTGGTCGGCCTGTGAGTCTTCTTTTGTCTGCACTTATATTGTCATCAATTGTTTCCTTTCCCTCCAGACACGCATTCCAATCTCACAATGTCCATACTCGCACATACTGTGCAATACTTTGTGCTACATATTTTTTTTGCCATTCTTCCAACGCATTTCCAACCACTCTTGTGTGATGGGGACGCCGGGGCGGGGGTTCTGCCTGTTGCATACCCCCTCGCATGCGCCGCCACTTTCCATATCAGTCATGTTCTTGCACCCTGAAGGCCTCGTCATCCGCATACTTAGATGGTAGCCGCAGCAAGTAGGCTGCTCCAAGAATATGTATAGGTCCATTGTAGCCATTGTATCCAGGTGATCCCTTTATCTTCCGCACCCTCATTCCCATGAGGTGACTTTTGAGTCGACTCGAAAGTCACCACGTTACAGCAGCCTGCTCCAAGAATGTGTATAGGTCTACTGTATTTGGATCTCTTCCTCTTCCGCACCCTCTTGCCCTCGTTCTCTGTGACCCTCCGCCCTGCTTTTGAATGTGTGCAGAAACGTCGCTTCCAACTATATGGAAGGAACCATCCCCCCAGCCCTTGGAAAGCTCGATAATCTTTCAGCTTTGTAAGTAATAAAAAGGTGGCAGTCAGCTTTCAGCTTTCAGCTTTGGGAATAATTGTACTTATCCACTAGTCAAGTGGCAGTCAGCTAATACGTACATCTTCTGCAGGCTGGTGGGAAAGTAACTAGTCGGGTGGATAGCCAAGGCAAGGGCCGCTAAGCACAACAGGGTCCTATGGGCCAAACCTCTTGCTCTTCCAGTGGAACAGAATGGTGGGTGGTTGGTCAACTCTGTTTAAGGTTGGTCAACTCTGTTTAAGGTTGGTCAACTCTGTTTAAGGTTGGTCAACTCTGTTTAAGGTTGGTCAACTCTGTTTAAGGTTGGTCAACTCTGTTTAAGGTTGGTCAACTCTGTTTAAGGCTGGTCAACTCTGTTTAAGGTTGGTCAACTCTGTTTAAGGCTGGTCAACTCTGTTTAAGGTAATCCACCTTTTTGTCTGTGATCCCCCTTCGTCCTTCGCCCCCTCCTCGGCTTGGCATTCTCAGAGACACCAACACCAGCGGACTCAGGTGCCCTGACAGCTACAGCAGCTGCGGTGTGCCTCAGAATGCGTCCTCTGGCTTCTGCCGCGCCTGCCCTGACTTCTGCGCCACATGTGAGCCCCCCCTCTCGTCTCTCCCTGAGTTTCTACCCAAGCACCAACCTGCCCTGCTGTGCACCAACCTGCTCTGCTGTGCACCAACCTGCCCTGCTGTGCACCAACCTGCTCTGCTGTGCACCAACCTGCTCTGCTGTGCACCAACCTGCTCTGCTGTGCACCAACCTGCTCTGCTGTGCACCAACCTGCTCTGCTGTGCACCAACCTGCTCTGCTGCCCTTTGGATTCAATTCATTCACTTGTCAGTTGACTTGGACATGTTGGGTTGGAATCCGCTGCTCCGTTTGCAGGTGACAAGCGCAAGCCACTCCCCTGGTGGGCTATTGCAGGAATCGTAGCTGGTGTTGTTCTCACTGTGGCGCTTGCGATACTGCTCTACTTCTACTGCTTCACCAATCGTGCGTACCGTCCCGTACCGTTCCACCCCACACTGCCCTGCCCTTGCCTTCCTGGCATGGCACTGCACCGACGAGTCATGTGGCTGCCCTCGTTCCGGATCTCCTCATTGCCTCTATGATTGCCCTTCCACTTCCATTCACCTACTGTCCTGCTGCTTCTTGTGCCACCACTTTCTCGCTTCACCTCTTTGCCCTTTTGAGTGATGTAAAGAGTGTTTTGTGCAGCCTTGCTGGGCACCAATGGGTCTCTCAGATGCATTTCCAGAACTCCGCGCTTCATTCAACACATCACATGGATGCGCACAATTTTCACCGTCATCAGTTGGAAAGGGTACTTGTTCCACCATCCACCATTCTCGAAGAATCATATTCCGTTGCCTCCCTATTCCCTCACGCCTTCTCCCCCTCCCCACAGCGCTGGTGAGCAGCAAAGCGGCAGCGCAGGTGTGTCAGGAGTATTCCCTTAATGCGGTGGAAAAGGCAACCAACGGATGGTCCGAGGCCAACCTGCTGGGCGCGGGGGCTTTTGGTGATGTGTATCGCGGCGTCTCTCCCACCGATGGTGCCACTCAGTGGGCCGTGAAGCGAGCCAAGACTGTCACCACTGACTTTGACACCGAGGTGAGTCACTGTGCAGTGCGATGCGATACGATGCTGTGCGGTGTGGCGCAGCGGCGCACGGCGGGGCAGGGCGGGGCGGGGCGGTACGGTGCTATGTGATGGGATGTGATAGGATGGGATGCGATGGGATGTGGTGTGATGTGCGTTTGGTGCAGTGCTGTAGAAATGTAAATGTGTGACATGACCATCGGAGCATGCTACGTTGGCTGTCAGATGTGCCACATCACCATCCTTTCTGCATGCCCTCTTGCTTATCACGCTGCGCTGTGCTTCGTCGTTGTGTCTGCCAGGTGTGTGCGTGTGTGTGCGTGTGTGTGCGTGCGTGCGTGAGTCACCCACCCACGCCATTTTAGTAGGCAGCAGTGTCAGATGTATCACTGAACTGTGCTGTACGGGGCCTTCTGTCATGCGACTCATGCCTGGCAGGTGTGTGAGATGGCAACGAAGCACCACCCCAACCTGGTGCGACTGCTGGGTTTCGCCATTGGGATCTCCGGCAGGAGAAGGCCGGAGCAAATCCTCATCTATGAGTTCATGCCCAACGGGGACCTCTCGCGATGGATCGGGAAAGGTGTGCATCCTAACACGTGCACGTCTGGAATTTCCCCCACCTATCTGGCCTTGCATATCAGCCTCTTCATACTGGCCTCTATTCTACTTCTGAATGTCTCTTCACTCCACCCCTCTTATCCCATCCCCTGCAGAGGCAGTGTCCCCGCTGAGCTTTGAGCAGAGGGTGGGCGTGCTGGTGGGGGCAGCACGGGGCTTTGAGTATCTCCACAGCTTCCCCATCGTTCACCGCGACATCAAGCCCGCCAACATCCTGCTCGACCAAAACATGCAGGCAAGTGGGGAAGGCAAGCAGCCAGACTTGTGCCGCATGCTCTTCTGTGACTAGCCAACATCCTCCTCGCCCGAACCATGCAGGCAAGGGGGGAAGGCATGCAGAGCCCTGTAGCCACTGCGATTGTTGCATGTCATCTAATGCCTTTTGCTCTCATATGAACAGCCATGCACACATGCGCCTGTGTGTTTGCGTGTTGCGCTCAGTGTATGAGTACAGACTAAGATGTCTTTTATTCATGAGTGCAGGCTAAGATCTCGGATTTTGGGCTGGTGAGGAAGGGAGGTGGAACAGCACTGCAGAGTACGCAAGTGGTGGGAACACCAGGCTATGTGGACCCCTCTTATGCTTGGTCCCGTAAGGCCACCACAGCCACTGATGTCTACAGGTGAGGCATGAACCCTGTTTTTCTTCAGCTGGTTTCTTTCTGTCGTTAAGCACCTCTCATGCGTTCCTCTCCTCTCCTCTCCACTCCTATCCTCTCCTCTCCTCTCCGATTCTCTCCTTTCCTCTACTTTCTTCTTCTCTCCTCTCCTCTCCTTTCCTCCCTCTCTCCCCTCCTCTCCTCTTCTCTCCTCTCCTCTCCTCTCCTCTCCTCTTCTCTCCTCTCCTCTCCTCTCCTCTCCCCTCCTCTCCTCTTCTCTCCCCTCCTCTCCTTTCATCTCTCCTCCTCTCCCCTCCTCTCCTCTCCTCTCCTCTCCTCTCCTCTCCTCTCCTCTCCTCTCCTCTCCTCTCCTCTCCTATCCTCTCCTCTCCTCTCCTCTCTCCTTCCCTCCTCTCCTCACCTATCCACGGGGTGTCGTGGTGTGCAGCTTTGGCATTGTCATGCTTGAGGTGATGACAGGCCACCATGTCGCTGCCAATTCTTTTGACATTCCCTCCGATGAAGAGGCGGGTCAACAACTGCACATTCTTTCTTGGGTAAGCCTGTGGGCATGGAGAGAGTCCCACTGTAACCCTTGCTTCCGCTCTTTTCTCTTTTCTTTTCTTTTCATTTTTTTTCAGCATATTTTTTATTATTTTTCTTTTCTTTCGCTCTCTCACTCATCCGCAAATCTTTCTATTGTTCCATCCTCAAACCTGCTTGTTCCACTCCAGGTCCAGCAGCAGCTGGCTCAATTTGGTCGCAGCGAGGCAGTGGCAAGTCTCAAGGACCCACGCATGGAGGCGCGGGATGAGTTGGTGTTGAGGGTGGTGCAGTTGGCACTGCGATGCACCGCCATGCCGAGCGCCATGCGGCCGACCATGGGGGTGATTGCAGCCGAGCTGGAGGCCGTGCTGGTGGAGCTGGGCGGCGCTCGTAGCAACTCCGCCGCCCACCAGGTGGACCAGCAGATGGAGGAGCACAGCATGTCAGCTTTGAGTTTTGATGTGGAGATTGCTCGCTTTGAGAAGATGCTCTGAGCAACCTAAGTACTGTTCTGTCATGATATGTTATATACACTTATCTATAGTGCCTATAGCTGTAGCTGTAGTTTGTTGTTATATATTCTGTTGGTGGTGCAACAATAGAATGATACATTCTGTCATCTTATATTATATATATCTATCTATAAGTGCCTGTAGCTGTAGCTGTAGTTTGTTACACATTTTGTTAGTGTAATCTATCATGATATATTATTTCTACCTATCTATAAGTGCCTATAGTTGTAGCTGTAATTTGTTATACATTCGGTTATGCGACTCATGCCTGGCAGGTGTACGAGATGGCAACAAAGCACCACCCCAACCTTGTGCGGCTTCTGGGCTTTTCCATGGTGCAATTGACAAAGGGAATTGTAGACGGTATCAATGCAGGTGTGTATCATGTAGATGCAGACGATTTTACCACTTCTAGGACTAAATCTTGGGTGAACGACCAATGCTGTTACATTCTACCTTTGTTCCATTTTATGAAGAGTTCGCGAGCTTCACCAAAGAGTCGCTGTCGCGTAGTTCAGGTGGATCAATAATTGCTGGTCAGGTTGCACAGTCGCAGTTACCTTTTGTGGCCCAGGACGTTTCCACACGGTGGAAAGCGGTTATCAGTTTCACCGTTTTGCACCGCGGCGAAACGAATTAAATAACAGAGAACGTACTAAAGTTGTGCGATGTGACCAGGGAATCAGTGTGTGACACGCTTGCCACAACGCAGAAATAATTGCGGAGCGGATACATGAGCCAGACACGCATTCATGGCCCCACCCATGGCGTGTCGTTTTAGATCAAGCAGGGTAACGGATCGGACATTGTTCCTGGGGGGAAGCTTCCGCGCGCGGCAGGCGACGGCGAAAGGCATAATGTCGGCAGGGGGAGCGGCGGAGGTCAGATTGCCATTCCATTATAGGGGCGACACGTTGCCTTGTTCCTCACGTGATATGCCTTCTCGCAATGCTCTTCTGCTCTGCTCTCTACTGCTCCCTGCTGCGTCACTTCCCGGTCTCCGTCAACGAGAACGCCAGGCAAGGCGGAACAGCGCGTGCCGTCCGTGTCGAAGCACCACATCAGAGCAAGCCAGAGTCAAATCGTCCCACCAGATCGAGCTAGACTCTTGGTTGTGTTCTCACGCACGTTACGAGCCGAGCCCCGCATAAGCTACCAGGAGTTTCAACACGTATCCAGCTCGCCCCTCGTGCCTTCTTGACAGTAACAATACGGAATCAGCTCAGCGCAACGCACGGCAGATTCCCAACGTCCTTTTTAGGCCGTCCGACTGCCACGTGACTGTAGAGTTAGCAATCAGACAAGCAAACAAGCAAACTGGTGGTCTTGATCGGTCGGTTGCCGAACAAGGGTAGGAGCGGCTTTTTAGAAAAGACCGCCAAGACTGTTTCGCTCCTATTGCAGTTAGGCGGACGCCTAAACCTGCCGGCTATGGCGGTGCATCGCGGCTCCCGTCACAGTCTCTTGGCGCTCGTTGCGGCGCTCATATGCTGCTGCCTGCCATGCACGTCGCTCGCAGTGCCCATCGCGGACTCGCAAGGTGCGTTGGTCCGGAGGTGCTGGTTTTTGAGAATTCTCAAAAACCAGCTTTTTGAGAATTCTCAATAACCACTCTTCTTGATCTCGCTGGGAGCAATCAGACACTCTTATGGGACTCAATTCAACCACCTCAGCCGCCTTGCACGGTGGGATCATGACCACGCTTGCGGCCGGAGCCAGCCCACCACCCAGCCAGTCAGTCAGTCAGTCAATCAGCCAGTCGTTAGTCAGTGAGACAGGCAATCACCCTGCCAGCTGGCCAGCCGTTTGTGGAAAGCCCTGTGCACGAGGAGGTGATACGATGAGCATCAGTGCTGATTGAAGGTCAACAAGACTCATTCGTTCACATCCTCGCTTGCTTCTTGCGGACACGCCCTGTCCTGCGGCTCGTCTCCCTTCGCCACGCCCACCACCCACCTACACCACCCTGCACTAGCAGTCTACGCACAGCTAAACCTCCTTCGCTGCTTCCTCCCTTCGTTTGCGCGGTTGCCTTGCTTTGCTGGCTGCACGGCAGGCAAGGTGCTGCAGGACATGGAACACAAACATTCCAAGCTGGCAGGCGGGGAGCGATTGCCAGCAAGCGCAAGGCCTCACATGCGACTCAGACGGCATGATCACCTCCATGTGCGTCCGCATTCTGCTGTGCCTTGCTATACCGTGCTTTGCTGTGCCGTGGCGTGGCGTGGCGTGCGGTGCGGTTCTGTGCTGTGCTGTGCTTTGCTGTGCTGTGCTGATACTCTGGCCACAAATGCTACTTACTCTCTTTCACTGCGTCTCCCTCCGTCTGTGATGCTAAGTACACCCAGAAGCATCAAAGTCAAGTCCCTTGCTCATTGTGCTTCGTATTCCCTTTGTTCTCTCCCTGTGCGCTCTCCCCTATCTGCTCCCCCCCTATGCGCTCTCCCACTATCTGCTCTCTCCCCCTATCTGCTCTCACCATACCTGCTTTGCCCCGTACCTTCTTTGCCCCTATTTGCTTTTCCCATATCTGCTCTTCCCCTATATTCTTTTCCCAGGCATTTCGATCAACTTCCGAATCGGGCTTTTCTCACAGCCAATGTCACGCGCCTAACCAGCCTCACGGAGCTGTGAGTGTGTGTGTGCGTGCTCCTATCGAGGGGGCTTTGTCAGGAAACAACCCATGTGACCTTGTTCTAATCCCTCTTCCTGATTCTTACTGCCTTTTCCTGACTCTTTATGATTCTTCCTGACTCCTCCCAGTGTCTCCTAGCGCCTCTTTTCAACTCTTGCAACAACACATGCAACTACACTTGGAATAACAATTGCAATAAACACTTGAACCACACGTGGAACAACACTTGCGACAAACTTTTGGAACAACACTTGGAACAACTGTCGTAACATAATTTGGGACGATATTTGAAACGCCACTCGGAACAAACACCTGAATCGACAGCTTTTCTCCTCTCCATGTTGATATCTTCATGTGAACCACCAATGCTTCCAACACCCCATGCATGCAGGAGCCTTAACTACTCTTTTCCTGACAAGGACACGCTATACAGCATGACGCAGCTAAAAGCCCTGTGAGTGCTTTGTGCGGCTGGGCACTTGTGGGGCGTTTCTTGTGTCTTGCACGCTTCCATTCTTTGTGATGGCTTAGGAAGAGGGCTTCACATGATTGCACGCATTCAACTCTCACAATTTGTTGGTTCGATGCGTGTGCACGTGCACGTGCCTGCGCATGTGCATGTGCCTGCGCATGTGCTTGTGCATGTGCTTGTGCTTGTGCTTGTGCATGTGCATGTGCTTGTGCATGTGCATGTGCATGTGCATGTGCATGTGCTTGTGCATGTGCATGTGCATGTGCAGGTCAGTGGACTGTACTCCCTCAGCGTCCATCTTTTTCAGCCTCACCAACCTCGCTCAGTTAACCAGACTGTGAGCCATCCCATGCCTGGCCGAATCATGAGGCGCCTCAAAAGTTGTGAGGCGTCTCAAAAGCCAACGTCACTCAGTTAACTAAACCGTGAGCTATCTCATGCCTGACCGAGCAAGGCACATGCGGGCGTTTAACAAGATCAGTGCATGCTCCATTGCTAGTAGTAGTAGTAGTAGTAGCTCCTTGCCTTCTTGCCTGCTAACCTGCTTGCTTTATAAACGCCTCCCTGTGTACCATTCATCGTGCCGTGACCTGACCGGTGCAGGCGATTGGATAACTGTGGCCTTGGTACCATTCCGGACGGTGTCTCGTCACTGGCAAGATTGACCGGCCTTGTGAACCTGTGAGTCCCCCCCCCCACTCAACCCCCCCACTCACTCCCCCCACTCACTCACTCCCTCCCCCTTACCACTCAGTCCCCTCACTCACCCACCCTCCCTACACACTCACTCCCCATACTCACTCACTCACCCTACACACTCACTCCCCCAACTCATTCACTCCTCCCACGCACTCCCCACCCCACATACACCCACGGCAGCATGCACACACCACACTGGCCCGTCTTTGCACCTTCTCTCTGCTGCTGCTTCCCATCACCTCCCCTTTCCGCCTTTGCTTCTCCGCTTTCTGCTCGTCTTCTCTACCCTTTCCCCTTGGCTGCTGGTCGTCCGCATGTGTTTCAGCATGCCAAGTAAGTAGCCTCCTCCTGCTGCCGCTGCTGCCCTGCCGCTCCTGCTGTTCCCGCTGCTGCTGCTTCTGCTGCTGCTGCGGCTGCTTACCGTTGCTGCCTCATTCTCCGCGCCCCTCCCTCCCATGCAGGGAGCTGCCCTCCAACCAGATATCAAACCTCCAACGGCTTGCTGGCATCAAATACCCAAACCTACAGAAACTGTACGGCTTTCTGCCCCCCTCTCCCTATTCTCCTCCTCTGCTTCTCTGCGTTTGGAAATACTGCGTGCATGCAGACAGCAGCAAAGCAAGTGGGGCATGGCTGTGACCACATGCATGCTGTGCAGTGTGGCTAGAGGCATGAGTCTGTGGGCAGGCTCCTGTACGCGGCACTGTGCCATGTTGCATGCACTCCCCATGCACTCCCCATTCGCCCTCGCGCACTCTCCCACTGCCAGACCCTGATTACTCGCATCAGCTTGTGTCCGATCCCATCCACTCCCACCCACTCGCATCCACTCTCACCCGCACGCTGGCTTGGCTTTACTTATAAAGGGCTTCTACAGTCGCGCTCCTGCTTAACCACAGCCGTGCTTGCTCTTCCTGACGCACTGCCTGCCATTCCTTGGCACAAGCTTTTGAAAGAATGTCACATGTGCTGCCCCTTGCCCTCCCGCTTGCTTGCTGCTCATGCGCACATGTGCACGGCACAGCAGGGGTCTGAGCTCGAACCCACTCAAGATTGATAGCCTTGGGAGTTTTAACAAGCTCAGGAGCCTCACAGCGACTCTTGAGACGTTTTTTTTTCTTCTTCTTCATTTCCCTCCCGCTCGCTGGCAGGGATCTAAGCTTAAATCCACTCAAGTTTGACAGCCTTGAGGGGTTCAACAACTTCACGAGCCTCACAATGCTGTGAGTGGGCAATGGGCATGGCTTAGCGGCTTGGAGAGAAACACGCTTACACATGGTGATGGTGGTTGAACATTCAGCATGCCTGGTGGCACATCTGGCATGCCTGATTGCAGATTCAGCATTCCTGGTCGCACATGCGCAGCTGCAGCCTCACTCACACGCTGCCGCATGCAACCCCACTCCCAACTCTCCCGTGTGCTTTGCTGCTAACCGCACGTTGGTTGCTGTGCGTGTGGGGGTGGGATGGCATGCGAGCACAGGGATCTGTCAGGCACTCAGCTCTTTGGTGAGCGCATCCTGGAGGGGCTTACCCTGCCCGCCTTGCAATTCCTGTACGCCCCTCCGTCCCTACCGACCCTACCGTCCCACCGTGCGTGCGTGCGTGCGTGTGTCCGTCCGTCCGTCCGTCCGTCCTAATGTCTTGCTGCTGCTACTCAAGCCATTGCATGTCTTCTCGTTGCCCTGAGAAGAGCACTTGCCATGTCGCACTGGTTCTGTACCCCATGTCTTCTTTACCGGGTGCATCAATCTGCGAATTCTTTCTTGCCTCCTGTCATCTGCCCTCCTGTCATTTGCCCCTCTCTCTCTTTTTTGCTGCCCTATATCCCTATTCCAAAGTCATCCCCACATGTCCCATGCCATGCCTCGGTCCTCCACTCTCCGAACCCATCCCCATCGTTACTGCATCTCTCTGTCTCCGCCCATGCCTTCCCTTAACTGCAGGAATGTCTCCAACAATGACCTCACAGGCTCCATCCCCGAGTCCCTCACAGCCATCTCTTCCCTGGCGTACCTGTCAGTCCCTTGGCCCTGCTTTCTTGTTGGGTCTCTTTGCATTGACTGCACGTCTCTTTGCATTGGCTTTAAGTCTCTTACCAGTTTGGCTTTTCTTTTCCTTCTCTCGTAGTCCCCCAAAACCGAAATCAGTGCACGGGCATCGCGTCTTGTGCTTGTCACACAACGTGCACGTGTGCATGCATGTCGCCATGAGCGACCCATCCCTCCGCTTCACCTTTTCCTCGGATTGTCCCGTCCCGCTGCCATTGCCAGGCTTGTTATAGGAGTTTTTCTGTTCGGAAACTCGTATATATATGTGTATATTATATATGCATATAAATATGTATATACATGTGAATATTTTAATGTTTTCATGGCTCCTCTTCTTGTGCCCCATACAGTGCCACCAACGACACGAGTCTCACGTGCCCTGACAGCTACACCAGCTGTGGTGTGCCTCAGAATGCGTCCTCTGGCTTCTGCCACGCCTGCCCTGACTTCTGCGCTACATGTGAGCTCTTCTCTTGAGAAAGGGAAGGAGGATGGTGGGGAGAGGTGTTTCCATCCAAGCACGAGTCTTTCGAGCCATTAGTCTGTTCTTTCTTGGTGCTTCAGAATGTGCTGCTCTGCTGTAGCGTATGTTTTGATTACTTGTTGATTGAGACATTCGAGCCCCCTAATCCTTGTACAGGCGACAAGCGCAAGCCACTTCCTTGGGGCGTCATCGCAGGAATTGTGGCTGCTGTTGTGGTCACAGCGGCGCTTACTGCACTCCTCTACTTCTACTGCTTTGACAAGCGTGCGTCTCGTCGCATACTGCATACCAACGCACACTGCATACCAACGCACACTGTGTCCCACCACATCACGTGGTCTTTTCTTGTCTGGCCCTGTGATTCCTGGGTTGCCATAATGATTCTCTGATACTCCTCTCATTCCACTTCCAATCACCTCCCTGTGCCTCCCTCCCCTTCTCCTTCATTGCCTCCTCACTCACCCCTTTCTCTTTCGATCCCCCCATCATTCCCCTGCAATTTGAATGAGCACCAAGGCGCCTCCTCCCTTGGCTTCCCAAACTTTTCAACCCTGAGTCACAACGGCTGCCTCCCCTTGTCTGCTCCTCCCAACAGCGCTGGTGAGCAGCAAGGCGGCAGCGCAGGTGTGTCAGGAATATTCCCTTAATGCGGTGGCAGAAGCGACCAACGGATGGTCCGAGGCCAACCTGCTGGGGACGGGGGGCTTTGGTGATGTGTATCGCGGCGTCTCTCCCACCGATGGTGCCACTCAGTGGGCCGTGAAGCGAGCCAAGACTGTCACCACTGACTTTGATAAAGAGGTGTGTCACTGTGGCCGTGTGTGCTCTGCTGTGGTGCGGGGCGTTTGTCATTAGATTCACATTGTCCGATAAAAATTTCTTCAACCCAGAGATAGTTGGTTGGGGTGGAACTCAATTGAGCCTAGGGCGTGCTCTCAATTGAGCGTAGGGCGTGCTCTCAATTGAGCCTAGGGCGTGCTCTCAATTGAGCCTAGGGCGTGCTCTCAATTGAGCCTAGGGCGTGCTCTCAATTGAGCCTAACAAGTGAACCTGAAATGAAATGAAACTAATCTCAAAGCTGGCCGTGAAATGGCATAGGCTCGGAACAAATCACAAAGCAGAAGCTAGCCTTCTCCAAACATGACGTTCGGAGTGGTACGGTGCTGTGGGTTGTGGTGATATGAGTCGTGTTTTGACTCGACTCAAAACACGGTAGGCAGCCGTGTCAGGTCAGGTGGATCATTCAACTGTGTGTTTTACGATGGGGCCCAAAGGCAGTTTCACCGGTGTGCCTGCCTGGCAGGTGTGTGCGATGGCCACAAAGGACCATCCCAACCTGGTGAAACTGCTGGGCTTCTCAATCGGCATCACCGACAAGACAAGGGTGGAGCAAATCCTCATCTACGAGCTCATGCCCCACGGGGACCTCTCCAAATGGATCGGGAAAGGTGTGTATCTTTCTAATAGTGCACGTGCTCTGCAGCTATGTCCCCTTTTGAGACGACTCAAAGTCTTTATAATAGTGCACGTGCTCTGCAGCTATGTCCCCTTTTTAGACGACTCAAAGTCTTTATAATAGTGCACGTGCTCTGCAGCTATGTTCCCCCCTAGTTGGCTGCCGTTCATGTATGCCTCTTCATACAGGCCTCCTTCTTGTGTGCTTCCCATGGTTTCCTCTCTCCACCCCTCTGTTCCTATTCCGTGTGCGCCCTGCAGAGGCGGTCTCCCCGCTGAGCTTTGAGCAGCGGGTGGGCGTGCTGGTGGGGGCAGCACGCGGCTTTTAGTATCTCCACAGCTTTGGCATCGTGCACCGCGACATCAAGCCCGCCAACATCCTGCTTGATGACCGCATGCAGGTGAGTTGACTTATGAGTCGACTCAAAAGCCCGCCAACATCCTGCTCGATGACCGCATGCAGGCATGTGGTGCAGGCGTGCAGCTAAACTCATGCAAAATGCACTACTATGAACGAACATGCACACGTAGGCGGACATTAGATTTCAATAGAATGTTCCTGCCCATATCCTTTGTCTCCTATTCATGAGCGCAGGCTAAGGTCTCGGACTTTGGGCTTGTGAGGAAGGGCGAGGGCACAACACTACAGAGTACGCGGGTGGTGGGAACACCGGGCTATGTGGATCCCTCCTATGCTAAAACCAACAAGGCCACCACTGCCACTGATGTCTACAGGTGAGCCATTAGCCTCCAATGTCCTTCTGTTGGTTTTTCTGTTGGTGGGCGCATCTTATGGTTTGCTCGACTCTCCTCTCCTCTCCTCTCCTCTCCTCTCCTCTCCTCTCCTCTCCTCTCCTCTCCTCTCCTCTCCTCTCCTCTCCTCTCCTCTCCTCTCCTCTCCTCTCCTCTCCTCTCCTCTCCTCTCCTCTCCTCTCCTTTCCTCTGCTCTCCTCTCCTCTCTTCTCCTCCCCTCTCCTCTCCTCCCCTCTCCTCTCCTCTCCTCTCCTCTCCTTTCCTTTTGGTGTGCAGCTTCGGCATTCTCATGCTCGAGGTAATGACGGGCCGTCACGTCACCACCAATTCTCTCGTCATTGACTCCGATGAAGAGGCGGGGCAGCACATCCTTTCCTGGGTACGTCCGTGAAGAGATGGAGAGAACGCAGGAGTGTTTCTGTGTTTCCATGTTCCTGCTCTTCATTCCTTCTCTTCCTCTCTCACGCAGCCAGATGTCGTATCCGCCCTTAACTCGTGTTGTTCCAACCCCACAAACCTGTTTCGCTGCTGAACCCCACCAGGTCCAGCAGCAGCTGGCTCAATCGGGCAGCAGGGCGGTGGTGGCATGGCTGCAGCAAGCGCGCATGAACGCGCGGGATGATTTGGTGTTGAGGGTGGTGCAGCTGGCACTGCGGTGCACCGACAAGCAGAGTGCCGTGCGGCCGGCCATGGGGGTGATTGCAGCCGAGCTGGAGGCCGTGCTGGTGGAGCTGGGCGGGGAACGCAGAAATGCCGGTGCCCGTCAGGTGGATCTAGAGGTGGAGTCGCAGAAAATGCCAGATGCAGATTTGGATGCAGAGCTTGCTCGTGTGAACAGCCTGCTGTGATTTTTTGAGAATTCTAAAAAAATAACCGTTGAATCTGGATGCTGCAGAGATTGCTCCTGTAAATAGCCTGTTGTAATGGCTTGGCATGGAAGTTCCATTTTTTGTGCGAGGGTGTGGAAGCTGGAGGTGCATTCCCTGATGCTTTTCGAAAAAGGCATGGTATTGGGAACTGACATGTGGAAAAGCTATGCACATGAGCAATTTCTGTGGGATTGGGGCACAGCCAGTGCGTGTCAGCTTACGGTAGCCCATAGAAAAGCTGGCATTGGATTACCACACCACATCGATGCAGCGTGATGTGATGAGTAGTTATAATGAGTTGTGATGCGAGCTGGTATTTGTAATGAAGATGAGCTGAGTGCCGTCAGACTAATGCTATAGGTTGTCCTCCTTTGTAGGCGGTTGTTATAGCGGCGCTGGCCATCACTTTCGTCAATAACGAGGATGGCCCTCTCACCCACTTCTCCCATGCCATACCTTTCACCCCACGAACCGAACTGTTCCGGTCGAAGCGTCTTCGTGACGATTTCCATAGCTTCCCTCTCAATGCCCCAAGCTCACACGCTCACCACCATTCATGGCTTTCCGCGGCACAGCCGTCGCGCCGTCGTCCTCCTCCCCTTTCCCCTGCCGCGATCCGCCTATTGCGCGATTCTGCCCGCACGCTCAAGCAGACATTACCCCCCTTCCGCCCCCGCCGTCGATTTGGCCTCTCGATCCGACGGCCCACCACAACTCGTCCGATGCGCGTATCGAGACGCGCTCGCGTTTGAATCACGTTAGTATCACAGCTTCTCCGTCGTCCAATCTTAGGGTTGGTTCCGAACCTGGTTCGTCTTTAGCGGGGGCGGTTGGGGAAGGTTTGCGCCAATGCGCGCAGCCCGCCCCTGTAGCGCGCGACTCTTCCGCCGTTTCCGCCGCCTGCAGGTTATTTTGCGCGCATTGCGCCTCCATCCTCGTCCCGTGCCTCTGCTGCGCCGCGCTCCTTATTCCTCCCGCTCTGCCTTCCGCTTCCCCCGCTGAGTACCGCGCCACCCCTCCCCGCCAACGCGCCTGCGGGGAAAACGCGGAGAAGGGAGCGGGTTGCGGAAATGGGGCGGCGCAGAAAGTCATTGGTGGAAAGAGGGGGGGAGGCGGAGGTAGCGCTAGTGGATGCGGCGGGGTAGGAGGGCTGGGCGAGACAGCGGCAGCAGGGGCAGCAGGAGAAGCAGGAGAAGCAGGGGCAGCAGGGGCAGCAGTGGCAGCGGCACCTGCAGCGGCAACCCCGGCAGAGGCGGTCGTAACTGGTCAAGGTGTGGGGGGTGGCGGGGTAGGTTGCTCGCCCCTTCCACTGCCCCTGTCGCCCGTGAGTGCTCCCCGCACACTGGAGGGCAGCACGCACCAGCGTAGTGATGGGTGCAGACATGGGGGGCAGGAGGGTGAGGGATGTGAGGGAGGAGAGGACGGAGAGGGAGGAGAGGATGGAGAGGGAGGAGAGGACGGAGAGGGAGGAGAGGGAGGAGAGGGAGGAGAGGGAGGGGGAGCAGCAGAGCGAGGCATGGCAACGGCGGGCATGAGCTGTGGTCGCTGCGGCATTGCTCTGCTGCACCCCTTCTGGCACCCCACAATCCCATCTGCCACCGCCGCCTCTGCCACCGCTGCTCCTGCTAGCGGCGCTGTATATAAGACTAACATGAATGGCACACACAGTGCCAGTACTGTGAGTGGTGCTCATTGCACTGCCTCTGCCGCCCCTGCTTGCAGTGCTGCTCCTCCACATGCTGCAGCTGCTGTGGCTACACCGCGTGCACATGTGTGGCCTGCAGGAGCTTCGAGCAGTCCCCGTGTGGGAGAGCACCAATCACCGTGGGACAGCTGGCGCGATCTCCTTGGGGTCTGGCCGGCGCAAGAGCTTCCCCTTGCCGTGGTACGGTGTGGAGCTGTGCGCTCTTTAATCAACTGTTAACTGTCTCACACACTTTATCCCTTCTGGGATCTCATTTGCTTGTATGTGTATCCAAGCACGTCCGCTTCTCCTTCCCGTTTCCTTCCATTTCCGTATCCACACACGTCATCCGTGTGTATACCTATACCTATACGCTACACCCACCACATGTATGTGCCCACCATCCATCAGCTGTCACGCGTGCATGCCACCAACTGGAGTCGTCGCTCCTATCTACTCCTCCTCACCTCCTCCTACCGTGCCCTCTCCTCAAAGGTGCGTCCGCCGCTCCTCTCCCCCCTCTCCCCTCCCAGCTCAGGCGTCCTTTAAGAAATTAGCTTTTCTGTTACAATGAGAACTTTTCTGCTGTTGATGATTCTTGAGATTTCGTGCTCTGTGTGTATTGCTCAGTCATGAGGTCCTGTGTGCAAGCAAGGCGATGTCTGAGTTTCCGCTTAGCTCAGCCCACTTCTTAGGGCTCCTTTGCTGCGCTGTTTGCTGGGTGGGTGTGCTGGCCCATCTGTGCTGCTGCTTGAAGGGTCATGCAGCCAACAGCAGCAGCAGCAGCAGCAGCAGCAGCAGCAGCAGCAGCAGCAGCAGCAGCGCTCACCTGTCTTCTTGTGCCGCCTTTCCCCTTGCCAGCTTCGTGAGGGCATGCATCACTCCAGCGCTCCTCATCACACACACGCCCTTCAACACTCTAATGCTCCTCCGCACTCCAGCGTCCCTCCTCCCACACGTGGCGATGACACACACCACAGCAGCTTGCAGGTGGGGGGTGCGGAGACAGCAGGTGCGGCGAGAACTAGACTACGGGGGAGTGGAGAGCGGTGGAATGGCTGCCAGGGTAATCCCCTTGCGGGAAGGGAAGGAGGAGGGAGGAAAGATGGGGCCAAGAGTGGAGCAGGGGAGAAAGGTGGGGAGGGGGATGTGAGAATAGAAGGGCAGGGCTTATCAAGTGAGCAAAGAGGAGCAGGGAGGGGGGGAAGAAACTGTGTCTGGACAGGAGGAGGGGATGGAATGGAGGGGCGCCGGGGGGGTGGCGCGGGAGGGGACGGGGGCGAAGGGGAAGCAGGGCAGGGGGAAGAGAGGTTCAGGTGGCAGGGAAGAGAGAGGGTGGGACTGGCGCAGCATGAGACGGCTGAAGATGGAGCACGAGCAGTGGCACGAGGAGCTGATGGGACCCCCAATTCTGCTGCTGTTGCTTCTGGTGCTGGTCGTGCTGATGGTGATGGTGATGGTGGTTGTGCTGTTCCTGCTACTGTGAGGCGGTCGGCCATGGGTGCAGGGAGGCAGTTGAGGACATGTGAACGGGCGGCCAAGCGAGTGTGCTTCGGCTTCGCCACACAGGTGAGGCAAGCAACCGGACGCACAACAAGGATGGTGTCTGCTGGCTTGTGCTCCAGTCGTTTTCCTGGGACTCCTTAAATATACCTTCTCCACAACCTCTCCTCTCCTCTCCTCTCTTCTCTTTGCCTCTCCTCTTCTCTCCTCTTTTCTGTTCCTCTCCCTTTTATCATTCAGACAAACCCTTCCCTTCTTAGACCCAAGCAAAATCACTCTCTGTCCATCCTCATTCTCTGTTTCCTCTCTTCTTTCCTCCCTGCTCCCTCCACTCTGTCCCCCCCCCCCCTTCACAACACCCACCAGGAACCCAACGGCACCACAGCCACACGGTCTGTCCGCCAGTCCCTCACGCCCACCCGTGCATCCACCAGCAAGCCAACGCACTCATCTCACCCATCTCCATCCCCTCCTTCCAACACCATGACTCCTCCTCGCACTCCCTCACTCCCTCTCCCCGCCTCCCCTGCTGCGGCTGCCACCTTAGCCACCCCTCCCACACGGCCCTCCACGACTCTCCATCCATCCACGCCCTCCTCCCCTCAGCCTCCCTTCACACAGCCCATGCCGCCGCGCTCGTCTCTTCCCTCCCCTGCTCGTGCATTCTCTCCTCTGCCTCCCGCGCGTGCCGCTACGCCTCGCAGTGGTGCTGCTGGGACGGCAAGGGGCTCTCAGCCTGGGCAGAACAAGGCAGCTTGCCTTCCTTCTCCAGCAGCAGCAGCAGCAGCCGCAGCAGGAGCAGCAGGAGAAGGAAGAGTCGGAGGTAGAGACAAAGCAGCAGCAGAAGCTGCTATGCCAGCAGTAGCATCGGAGAGGGCAGAGAGAGCAGGAGCAGAAGGGGCAGGTGGAGAGACGAGTTTGTCAGAGAAGAGAGGGAAGGAGCAAGGAGCGAGAGGCAGTGTTGTTGGTGCAGGTGACAGAAAGAGGAAGGCCAAGGAGAAAGGCAAGCCCAGCAAAACTGGGCGGGTGGCAGATGCAGAAAAAAAGAAAAGGCGAAGTGGGGAAGGCGCTGCTGCTGCTGCAGCAGCAGTGGATCATGCTGTTGGTGCTGCTGCTTGCACTGCAGGCACTGACCGGGAGCGAGTGACAGGTGCAGTCACGACAGGAACGACCGCTGGTCTTGCTGATTGTGGTGGTAGTGGTGGCGGTGATGGTTCTGCTTTTGCTGCTACTGTTGCTAACGGCAGCAGCAGAGGTAGGGAGAAGAGCAATCAGGGAGGCGAGCAGAGTAAAGGAAAGACCCCAAGCGGTGTGCGTGCACCCAGCAGCACCAACCATCCCAACACCATACCCGCACCCACACCCACAGCCACCACCACCAGCACGCTTGACTTGGATCACCACTCCCCACGCCTGCGTCTCATCCACATGCGAGCAGCCTTGCTGCAGCAGCAATGCTCCTCCACTCTCGCTCAAGAGATCTCTTCCTCCTCCTCTTCCTCACTCCTCTCCTCTCCCACCCTCCCCGCGTGCTCCCCTTCCTGCCCCTACCGCCCTTCTGGCCGAGCCTATGCGGCCATGCGCAATGCCCGAACCTCGCTGGCAGGTTCGGGTTGGGATTGCAGAGTAGGAGGAGGAGGGGCGGGAGGGGGCACTGGTTTTGGAACGTTGCATGTGAATATGCTGCGACTGTCCCTTGATGTGCTGGGAACCGAGGACGGGATTGAGGGAGAGAGGCACATGGGAATAAGAGGACGCAGGGGAGAAGAGGTTGAAGATGATGCCCTTGGTGGTTTCAATTGTCGCCTTGCTGCTAGCAAAGGTTTTGGTGGTGGTAATGGTGCTGGTTGTGGTAATGGTGTTGGTGGTGATGATAGTGCTGGTGAGCTTGGTAAGCAGCAGGCACGGGCTGGTCGAGAGAAGCAGCAGCTCGATTCTACACAGGCTCGACGGCAAGCGGGCAGTGGATGCAGCGCTATCAGTGCCTTGGCGAAGCTGGTGGTGGCCGGCATTTCTCGTCTGGTTGTGCGGCAGAGGGCACCGCGTGTGGAGGCGCAGAGGAGGCTGGAGATGAGTGACGTGGCACGGCAGCTTCAGGAGGACCTAGAGACTGCCGCCAGGGCATCAGCTGCTAGTGCTGGTGCCACTGCTGCTGCTCCTGCTGATACTGCTGCTGCTGCTACGTCTAACATCCCCTGTGTACCCAGTGCCAACGTTGGGGGGGTGGAAAGAAGTGGTGACGCACCCAGCACTAGAGTTAGGGCTCGGTGCCCTCCCTTCACCCCCGCAACTCCTGCGCCGGCTTATGATACGCTCCGTACATGTTACCTGCACAGTGGAAGTGGCTTCGGCGTGGGTGTTGGGGGGTGCGGAAGGGCAGTGGGACCAGCAGGGGCAGTAGGGGTGGCAGGGTCAGCAGGAGCGGTAGGAGCAGTGGGAGCAGAGCAGCAGAAAAGGGTCCGGTTTGTGGACGGAGCAGGGGGAAGTGGCATGGGGGAGAGCACGCCAGAGGCAGACGGTGGCGGTGGCGGTGGCGGTATATGGAGTGGAGGCGTGGGCGAGACCATGAGGAGTCTACCTCTCTCCTTCCTCCACGCCAGGCTGGTTCAGCACACCTTCCCGAGAAGCACGTGCTGCCAAGCGGACAAGGAACTGGGGTGTGCCCAAGCTGCATCACAGCCAGACGGTCTCCCTGAGCCAGCTATGCCCATGCCACATCCTCTTGACTCTTCCTCTTCCCAGCCTCACCACGCAGCTCTGTCCTCCCATCCACACCGCCGCACGTCCACCAGTTCCCACGCTCTCCCTCCTCCGTCCCCCCCTCCCCCACCTACCCTGCTTCTGCGCCAGCAGGTCAACTCCCTGCTGCGCCTGCTGCATGACCTCGCCTTTACCCTCTCATGCCCACCCCCACTCGCACCCCTCGCACCCCTCGCACCCCTCACTTCCCGCACAGCGCATCGTGCCTCTCCTCAAGGCCCCGCGGCCTCGCTTGTCTCAATCCCCAACCCCACTCGCCCACACCCTCAGCAGTCTCCATGCAAGAGCACAGGAGAACAAGCCTGGCCAGAGTCAGGCTGGGCTATGGGCATGGCCATGGGAAGGGGTGGCTGGCATGAGAGGGGGCTAGAGGGAATGGAGGAGTCTGGGAGGCAGGTGTTGATGGATGGGTTGATGGAGGAGAGCTCTAGTGTGAGTGAGAGGAGGGAGGCTGTACAGCTATCGCACCATTTATTGGTGCTAGCTTATCATGAGCTTGCACATCTTGATTCTCTCATTTGACTTGAGTGGTGAGGTATGCAATCACCGGTATGTTAGGCGCTGGGCCGATGAAGTGTGACTTGGTCCTTCAAACCGGCACATACAGCGGCACAATGGACGCGATTATTGCCTGAGTGTCAGTAGACATGCACTGTGAGATCCTTGATCGATCCTAGCAGGGTTACAAGCGTGTTGTCCTGGGGGTTTATGTGCGCACGGACCTGCTATATCAACCCCTTTTATCCTAATTGTCTAGTGGCAAAAATGCTGACATGGTATCAGAGCAGTCTCGCATTCGAATTTCCAAGTGTGCACATGCAGGCCATTGCCAGTGTGCCGAGTCCTGGGCCTCCTAGTGTGGAGGGGTGTCAGTGGGCATGCGCTCTAGAATCTCCGATCGATCGTAAAGAGGGTTACAGGCGCGTTGGCCTGAGGGGGTTATGAGCGCACGGACCCACTACACAAACAAGCCATTTTACCCTCATGGTCTAGTGGATGCGATTCTTTGACACTAGGCTTGCTGATGACTTTCGTGGAAATAAGCCAAACACAGCAAACAAGGGCCTCTACAACAACGGAAACAAAGTTAAATAAATGTTTTAACGTGGTCGGTCACGAAAAATTGGCAGTTAGACGATCATGCATTCAACGAAGGGAAGAGTTGATGGGGGAGATGAGATCACGAAGGCATGCGGTTCATCACTCTGGGTCCGTTTGGTGCTGTTGATTCAAACCAGTGCTCCAAACACGAACGGTAGTCTCTGAGCTCCTAGACACAAGCCCCTAAAACAACAAAACAAAAACGGCCTCACGCACAGGTGAACTGCCAATCATTGGTGTGATGCAGCTGTATACTGTCACTTCAGTCGCCTTCAATTAAGGCATCCAGGCGCGCAAACTCCGCATCCACATCCGGATCTGCCGTCCTCCGTGACTCCACCTGCAGGTCCACCTGCCGGGCTGCAGAGTTGCTGCGTGAGCCGCCCAGCGCCACCAGCACGGCCTCCAGCTCGGCTGCAATCACCCCCATGGCCGGCCGCACGGCACTCTGCTTAGATGTGCACCGCAGTGCCAGCTGCACCACCCTCAACACCAACTCATCCCGCGCCTCCATGCGCGCGTCCTTGAGGCCTGCCACTGCCTCGCTGAGGCCCGATTGAGCCAGCTGCTGCTGGACCTGGTGTGGATGAGGAGGATGGAGTTTGAGGCACAGTCACTGATGTACTGGTATACGGCAAGGTTGTGGATGCGCACAAGAGAGAGAGAACAAATAAAGAGTGGAAACACGGCTACGGCAGCGCCCTTTCCATCCCACCGACGGACGTACCCAGGGGATGATATGCAGCTGCTGACCCGCCTCCTCATTGGAGAGAATGTCGAGAGAATTGGTGGAGACGTGACGACCCGTCATGAGCTCAAGCATCAGAATGCCAAAGCTGCACAGCCAATAGCCCGTGGAAATGTGAGGAGAGGAGAAAAGAGGAGGAGGAAAGAATGAGAGCCGCCCAACAGCAGGAGAAAACCTCCAGAAAGTTCAATGCTCACCTGTAGACATCAGTAGCGGTGGTGGCCCTATTGGATGCGGCATAGGAGGGATCCACATAGCCCGGTGTTCCCACCACTCGCGTACTCTGTAGTGTTGTGCCCTCGCCCTTCCTCACAAGACCAAAGTCTGAAATCTTAGCCTGATTTCATGCATAAATGACGAAGGATATGAACAGGGATGGATGGATTGTGAAATATGTAGGAATTTGGTATACATGGCATGCACTACAAGACGAGCAAATGATGTGGAGAAAGTAAAGAAACATGTGAGCGACAAAATTCTGTAGCACTTGCCTGCACGCCTCCACCACATGCCTGCATGTTTTGGTCGAGGAGGATGTTGGCAGGCTTGATGTCGCGATGAACGATGCCGAAGCTGTGGAGATACTCAAAGCCGCGTGCCGCCCCCACCAGCACGCCCACGCGCTGCTCAAAGCTCAGCGGCGTTGCTGCCTCTGCAGGGACCACGTATGGGAATGACGGGCAGAGAGGACGGGAATGGAGCGGTAAAGAGAGGAGACCATGAGAAGCAGGCAAACCAGGCAAGGAGGCTTGCATGAAGAGGCATACCTGCATGGCCAACTTGGATGGCATACCTGGATGGCATACCTGGATAGGCGGAAAACTCGAAACTGGAATATAACTCTCGTGTATGAACACTTCCCAAAGCAACTTCAGCCACAGAGCAGCGTATGACCACTGTTAGAATGCACACCTTTCCTGATCCATCGCGAGAGGTCCCCGTTGGGCATGAACTCGTAGATGAGAACTTGCTCCACCTTCTTTCTGTCGGTAATCCCAAGGGAGAAGCCCAGCAGTCGCACGAGGTTGGGGTGGTGCTTCGTTGCCATCTCACACACCTGCCAGGCACCACGGTAGGGCCAATAAAACACGGCTCAATTAAATATCCGACACTGCTTCGTTGCCATCTCACACACCTGCCTGCCAGGCATGGCAATGGAACCAATAGAACACGCTACAATGATATATCTGACTCTGCTTCGTGATCACCACACACCAGCCAGGCCTGACGGTGGGTCCAGTAGAACAGAGTGCAACGATCTTTCTGACACTGCTGCCTACCAGGATGGCTGGTTATGTGACACACGTGCACCTGGCAGAAGAAACGATGAAGCACAGCGTGATGTGCGAGAGGTTGTGCAAAAGGAACAGTCATTGGGCGCATCCGGAAGCGAATGTGATGCGATTGGATGGGCCATGGTCATGCCACGCATCTAGATTCTACAGCACAGTGTCAAACACTACAGCACGCGCACCACACTGTACCGCACCACACCATAGCACACGGAATCTGTGGAGCTTATCAAACACACACCACATTGGATTGCCAAAGGGGATCAAACAGGAAAGACAGAGGGGGTTCAAACAGAAAGGACAAAGAGGTGCTTGCATTGATCTCAGATTGATTATTGTGAAAATGTGGGGGATTAAGGGTATTTTGGCAGTGTCAGATATATAAATGAGCTGTGATTTAATGTCCCCATCGTGGTGCCTAGCAGGTGGGTGAGATGGCAACAAAGCAATGTCGGAGATATAATTGAGCTTTGTTTTATTGGCCCACCGTAGTGCCTACAAGGTGTGTGCGATTTGAGATGCCACGCGTCGCATCACATCACGCCACGTCACATCATATGCACGCACCTCAGTGTCAAAGTCGTTGGTGATGACCTTGGCTCGCTTCACGGCCCACGGCGTCGTGCCATCGGTGGGAGAGACGCCGCAGTACACATCACCATAGGCACCTGCTCCCAGCAGGTTGGCCTCGGACCATCCGTTGGTTGCCTTCGCCACCGCCGTGAGTGAGTACTCCTGACACACCTGCGCTGCCGCCTTGCTGCTTACGAGTGCTGCAGGGAGGGGGAGCAGGCGGGGGGGAATGGGGAGGCAACGAAATGCGATTCTAGTGGATGATTGAACGAGCACCCTTCCCATCCCAACTGATGACGGTGAAAAATGTGTGCATCCATGTGATTTGATGTGACGTGATGTGATGTGGTGTGATGTGATGTGATGTGATGTGATGTGATGTGATGTGATGTGATGTGATGTGATGTGATGTGATGTGATGTGATGTGTTGTGATGTGATGTGATGTGATGTGATGTGATGTGATGTGATGTGATGCGATGTGATGTGATGTGATGTGATGTGATGTGATGTGATGTGATGTGATGTGATGAATGAAGGGCAGACTACTGGAAATCCATCTGAGAGACCCATTGGTGCCCAGCAAGACTGCAGAGAAAACTCTTGAGAATTCTCATTAGGGCAAGAGGTGAGGCGAGAAATTGGTGGCAAAGGGACCAGCAAGGAAGGGGGTGAATGGAAGTGGAAGGGCAATCATAGAGGCAATGAGGAGATTTAGAACGAGGGCAACCACATGACTTGTTGGTGCTGTGCCATGCCAGAAGCAAGGGCAGGGCAGTGTGAGGTGGAACGGTACGGGACGCACGGTTGGTGAAGCAGTAGAAGTAGAGCAGTACAGCAAGCGCCACAATGAGAACAACACCAGCTACGATTCCCGCAATAGCCCACCAGGGGAGTGGCTTGCGCTTGTCACCTGCAGACGGAGCAGCGGACTCAAACCCAACATGTTCAGGTGGCAGGCGATTGGATTGAATCCACGGGGCAGCACAGCAGCTCGGTGCACGGATAGAAACACAGGGAGGGAAGAGAGGCGGGACTCACATGTGGCACAGAAGTCAGGGCAGGTGCGGCAGAAGGCAGAAGACGCATTCTGAGGCACACCGCAGCTGGTGTAGCTGCCAGGGCACGTGAGACCGCTGCTATTGGTGTCTCTGACAATGTCAAACCAAGGAGGGGGCGAAAGAAAAAGGGGGCGAATCACGATTGTAAAGGGAGATGCTTTGGGCCTCGTCCATTCCCTCTCCTGTACCTGCTCCTCCTCTACCTGCTCTCTCCTCTGCTCCGCTCGGCCCTCCATTGCAAGGCCTAGCACGAGAAGGTTTGGATACAGGCTCAATCGATCGTGGCAGGCGGAGAGGAAGATCCCAATAACAGACCCTCCTGTATGGGGAAAAGGGTACGTGGGCAACCGTCTTTCCCACACAGATCCTCCTCTTCCCCGTACATGGGCTTCTCTCCACTTACGGCAGATTGATCGTGAACCCTTCCTGTCGTACTGGCAGACCAAGTGGTTTGGTTTGGTTTGGTTTGGTTTGGTTTGGTTTGGTTTGGTTTGGCCCGTTGGATATTGCTTTGTGCTTACCCATCCTTGGCTGCCCCCTTCAGTGTATGTAGCCATTAGCTACCTGCCACTCGACTAGAGAATAGGCACGTTTGTTTAATTAGTACTTACAGGGTTGAGAGCTTGTCCAGAGTCCCGAGGAGGGGGGGAATGGTTCCTTCCATATAGTTGGAAGCGACGTTCCTGCACACATGCAACGGCAAGGCAGAGGATCATAACTAGCGAGGAAAGCAGTTGTGGAGAATGAATCAAGAGATCTGGAAAGACTGGATGGGAGCAGCTTGCCATGGCTACTAGTACTACCATAGGACAAAGGTCTCAGCGTGGGAGGGAGGAACCATGAGTCAAAAACAGGAATGAACTTTTGAGTCGACTCAAAAGTCAACTCTCTACCATACGACAAGGGTCTCAGCTCAGCGTGGGAGGGAGGAACCATGAAGCAGGAATATTCACCGCCCATCGCGTTAGCGGTAGCTGGGTATGCATGGGAAGTGCGGCAGCAAAATCAAGCCACAGTATGACTGCTGCGCAGAACATGGACATGTATGCATTGTGAGAATCAGCAAATGCATGTCTAGAGGGAAACGGTGGATGGATGGAGTTGAGTTATTACATATGCTGTGAGTGAGAGAACTCACAGGCTAACAAGGTTTGTCATGGTTGTGAGGGATTCAGGCAGAATGCCTCTCAGCCCGTTATTGGAAAGATTCCTGATGGCACATGCATGGCAGGAGAGGGAGGCATGAAGCATGAGAGAGGGACATGGAATGGAAATGTGTGGAGTTTCGTTCTGATTCCATTAACGTACACAGCAGGAGAAGACGAATTTTCTCAAGGGGGGATAAAGAAGAAGGATTCGTACGTGCATGTGGTGATCTGCATACAAAGAAACGGGGGCAGGTGCAATGACAGGTGCAATGGCAGGTGCAATGACAGGTGCAATGGCAGGTGCAATGACAGGTGCAATGGCAGGTGCAATGACAGGTGCAATGGCAGGTGCAATGACAGGTGCAATGGCAGGTGCAATGACAGGTGCAATGGCAGGTGCAATGGCACTTAGCAGTTAACATGAGCAGCACAGGAAAGAAAAGTGCTTCTCAGGAAGTGCGGCACGTACAAGAATTGCAAGGTGGGCAGTGTGATGTTGGGCAGCACTTTGTCTCCCTCCAACTGGTTGGACGAGAGATCGCTGTTGACTCGTGCCAAAGCCGTTACACACGTGCAACAGGCATCCACACACAGGCACGCGCACGCACGCACGCACGCACGCACGCACGCATGCACGCACAAGAAGCAGGTATAGTGGGCATGATGATGCAGGCGCAAGGAGCAGCTCATGGCAGAGGCTGATGATAGAGGCAGTTAGGCAGCCTGACAAGCGGGGGCATAGTAATGGAGAGTGGAATGACCTTCAGAGAAGCATGGCAGCGAGGAGAAGAATGAAGCGGAGCGCCTGGATTGGTCAGAAGCATTGCCAGTTACACACTTAAATCAATTTGACTTGAGTTGACACCATGTGCAAGTGCATTGACAAAGGAGGACCGTTACACCTGCCAATCCAGGTCCGTTCATGCATGATATGTGTGTTCGCCTAGTGTAAGAAATGATGCAGCGGAGGGGAGGGGAGTGGACTGACAGAGTTGTGAGGCCGGAGAGACGAGGGAGGTTCTTGATGAGGTCGTACGTCCTGAGTGGGTTGGAACTCAGATTCCTGCCATGCCGTGCAGCACGTGTGTGTGTGTGTGTGTGTGTGTGAGATGGGTGGGATGCTTGAGACGTTTTTGAGGGGATGCACGCACAGGCGAAGCATGGCTTTTGAGTCGACTCGAAGGCAGCGATCGGGGGGGATGTGACTTGCAAATGAACACTCAGGACTTTTGGGTGAAACTCACTTGGAAGCTGTGGTTACGATGTGCCACCACTGGCAATGATTCAAAAACCGAATAGATTCCATAAAGCTCGAAAGCATGGTTTTTTTGTATTCACCACACCAAGATACAGCAGGGCAGGGCGCATAGGAGAACGGCGTACAATTTCACGAGTGTGGGGAAGTTGGTGGGGCTGATATCCCACATGGACGTTATGCCGTTTGATGGCACCTCTCTGCAGCACAGGGTAAGTGTGCCGGGATTCACACACGCAGAATGAGTACACACGTGGAAGCAGTGATGCTTGTGTGCAACGAAGGAACCGTGCTGCTGAACCGTGGGCAGCCGCGAAAGGGACGAGAGCAGAGGAGGAAGCAGTGACGGGAAAAAGCGGAAGGGCGGCCAGTGAAGGGGAGCACGCACACTGACACAGGTGCATGCACTGACACAGGCGCATGCACTGACACAGGCGCATGCACTGACACAACAAGGGTTGTGATGACTGCTGCTGTGAGGATCTAAGGCTGAGGGATACGGTTGAGGGGAAGGGAACAAAACGGGTGTTGAGCTCACAGTTCAGAAAGATGGGAGAGGCGAGATAACCTGTTGAGCTGATTTTCAAAACCACAGTCGCTGATTCTTCTGTGTGTCATGAAGAACAACAAAAGGGGCATTTCACACAGAAGAACAGAACATGAAGCAACATGTCATGAGATGTCATGCAATGCCATGCCATGCCATGCCATGCCATCCCATGCCATGCCATGCCATGCCATTTCATACCAGGCATAATAACTGTGCCATTGCAATGTTAATACGTATCATGCCATGCTTGCTACCGGTGTCCTTTTCTGAAATGGGTCTCACTCACTCACAATGCTCATCATATGCAATGACGACACACAAACAAGCACCAGGTTTTCTCACAGCCTGGTGAGCTGAGTGAGGTTGGCCACCCCGTCTGGGATGCTGTTTGTCATGGACGGCAAGCAATCCACCACCCTGCAGAAAGAGGTGAAAGAGGTGCAGCAGGCACATGAAGGTGCAGCAGGCACATAAGACGCAGCAGGAGGAGAATCAAAACATCGGCCTTCATTCGAGTGCGCACGACTGGCAGCAGCCTGCAAACAGAACTTGCCAGCTCTAGGGGGACCCCCTTGGGGACTCACAGGGACTCGAGCCACGTGATGTTATAGAGGGACCCCCATGGGATATGGTCCACTTGTGAGAACTCCCTGTGTGGTCTCATGCAGGGAACAACAGGGAAGGGAAGGAAGAGACTTGTGATGGTGGTGGTGGTGATGGTGGTGATTATCAATCAATCACTGCCGGTCGTGTGGAAATGTGTTAATGCTGATATCCAGGAAGGAGCAGCAGGATACGAAACAGTTGAGCAACAGCTGGGTTCAATGAGACACAATCAGACACCGATAAGAAGGACAGCAATCAGAATCTGATTCAAACCGAACCACAACCAACCAAACCAAACTTCCCCGTAGCCACACTGAACTATTCCTGCATGCACCGCAGGGGCGTACAGCTGGGTGAGGCGCGAGAGCCGGGTGACGGAGGGGAGAGGAAAGTACACCACAAGCGACGTGTTGAAGCGCCTGCACACAGCACGGCACGGCACGGCACGGCACGGCACGGCACGGCACGGCACGGCACGGCACGGCACGGCACGGCACGGCACGGCACGGCACGGCACGGCACGGCACGGCACGGCACGGCACGGCACGGCACGGCACGGCACGGCACGGCACGGCACGGCACGGCACGGCACGGCACGGCACGGCACGGCACGGCACGGCACGGCACGGCACGGCACGGCACGGCACGGCACGGCACGGCACGGCACGGCACGGCACGGCACGGCACGGCACGGCACGGCACGGCACGGCACGGCACGGCACGGCACGGCACGGCACGGCACGGCACGGCACGGCACGGCACGGCACGGCATGGCATGGCACGGCACGGCACGGCACGGCACGGCACGGCACGGCACGGCACGGCACGGCACGGCACGGCACGGCACGGCACGGCATGGCATGGCACGGCACGGCACGGCACGGCACGGCACGGCACGGCACGGCACGGCACGGCACAGCGCAGCGCAGCACAGCACGGAGGGAGAGAGAGGTGCTTGTGTTTCTGCAGCAGGGGTCGTGTCTATAAATGGGCATCTGAGACAAGTTGGTTGTATAGGATAAAAAAAAAAAAAAAAAAATCAATAGTATCGTGAATGGAAGGGACGGGTGCTTGTGCTTGTGCAGGGAGGGCAATGTCCATAAGAAGGCATCTAGGCGTCGCTTGTTTCGAGACGTCTCAACACATCATTAGGCATGTGGGCGTGGCTGCAAAGAGCAATAGGAGCCTTGCCTGAACGAAACAAGTAAAGTGGAGACAAGAGAGATATTACGCGGGAGTCACATAGAGCGTGAGGAGGAGGACAACAGAGCAGCTGTGAGTGAGGGGGCTCGGTCTGAATCGGGCCTGGGAAACATGCAAGCAGAGTTTGATTTGAGCAAAAATGTGGCGGAGGGGAGAGCTGGGAAGATTTTATTGTGATGATTGCAGCTGGCAATTGAGGGGAGGATACAGGAATGGCACGGTGCGGTGCGGTGCGGTGCGGTGCAAGAACGGCACGACAGTACACAGCAGGACGCGGTGTGGGCGCACATGGAGGTGATCATGCCGTCTGAGTCGCATGTGAGGCCTTGCGCTTGCGTGCAGTCGCTCCCCGCCTGCCAGCCTCCAAAGTTTAAGCTCCAACTCGTTTGCAACTCCTGCAGCACCTCGCCTGCCGCACAACCAGCAACAGCGACAGCAGCAGCAGCAGCAGCAGCAGAAACCGTGCAAACGGGCAGGGGCACGGCTGTGAGGGAGCGTTGGCTGTGCGCAGACTGATAGCTCAGGGCGGTGTACGTAGGTAGGAGGAGGTGGGCGTGGGGAAGGGAGGGAGACGTGCCGCAGGACTTGTCCCCAAGAGGCAAGTAAGCAAGCACGGACGTAGAAGAATGAAAGATGGACTTGCAGAGCATGGAATGAACAATGATGCCCATCGTTCGCTACACCTCACACACACAGCTTTTCACAGCCGCCTGGCCTCGCCAGCCACGTGGTTGGCCGCCTGGCTGGTTCTCGCCACAAGTCTAGTTTCGAGGCGCCTCGAAACTAGACTTCTCACACGCGGTTTTGAGGCGCCTCGAAACTAGACTTCGCGACCAACGCACCTTGCGACCAGCGCACCTTGCGATTCAGCGATGGGCTGTGCGAGCGACGTGCGCGGCAGGCAGCAGAAGCATGCGATCGCCGCGACGAGCGCCAAGAGACCGCGACTGGAGCCGCGATGCACCGCCATGGCCGGTAGCTTTAGGAAGTCCTTTTGACGGCGTTTGACGGCGACAGGCGCAACGAGCGGCAAGCACAGCACGGCTTGGCGGTGGTTTCTCAATCCACCCTTGTTCGGCATGCAGCCTGCGTGTCAGAGTCCGAAGTCTACCACCATGCGGAGAATCTGCCGCGCGTTGCGCCGAGATGAGTTCGCCCCGTCACGGGTTTATTTCTGCCACGTGGCCTCCCTCGATGTGCGCAGCTTACCTGTCAGTTAATACTATCAAGACGCGAAGGGTGAGATGGATGCGTGTTGAATTACAGGTGGCGTACATGCGGGGCGTTTTGGATCGAACTCATGCGTGCCAGCAGGACTCCCTTCGAAGGTAGAATACCAACAGGAATCCGGTGCGGCGACTTAATTCTGGTTCCGAGATGGTGGTGCGGCTGGTACGCAATATTTCGACAAGGATGGCACCATCGTGAACGAGGGGTAGTATTCCGCCTTGTCTGGCCTGCTCGTTCACGGAAGGAAGGAGAGCAGTGAGCAAGAGAAGAGAAGAGAATGCACAACAGAGCAGAGCAGGAGAAGGTCGTAGCGAGAATGCAGACTACGGGGGGAACAAGTCGACGCGCCGTGTTTGCACCGGAATGGTTTCATCTCGGCCACTTCTCCTGCCCGCCATTATTCCTCTCCGCGTCGCCTGAAAGCTCGCTCTCTTCTCTGGAACCATGAAAGTCGGCATTGAGCCCAGCTTTGCTTGGTCCTCCACAACCAACAAAACGAAACTTGAAACACCTCTCGTCTTCCGTGCTGTGCCATGCCGTGCGCTTCCCACAATTATACGGAACAATTGTGGGGTTGACTGAGGAGGCGCTCCGTGCGGGGCGCATGGAAGCTAAGGGGGTCGAAAGGGGTTCTTGGGGAGCTAAGAGGGGTGAATATTGGTTGAATAGTTGGAAACAAACTCATTTTCTATAAGAATCAAAAAAAGTGTGCGTGCTACACTGAAACTGACTTCTCCACCCCAAACATTAGGTTTACAACTTTGTATAGTTGTGTTCTTATGTTTTCTATACAATTTTCTTTCCTTTTTGGCATTTGGATAATTAGTGCAGTACGTTTGAGATACGGTATCAGGCCTGGCCAACACCTGGATTCATAAGCATACAATTGGGAACTACACACTCTACAAAGGGGGTCTACACACTATCAGTTCCCCTGAAGCAACGCATTCAGACGTGCAAATTCTGCATCCAAGCTCGAAGCTGGCACTCTCTGCGACTCCACATGCAAATCCACCTGCCGGGCGGCGGAGTTTGTGCGTTCCACCCCCAGCGCCACCAGCACGGCCTCCAGCTCGGCCGCAATCACCCCCATGGCTGGGCGCGTGGCACTCTGCTTGTCGGTGCACCGCAGTGCCAAGTCGACCACCCTCAACACCAACTCATCCCGCGCCTCCATGCGCGCGTCCTTCAGACTTGCCACTGCCTCGCTGCCGCCAAATTGAGCCAGCTGCTGCTGGACCTGGAGCAGAAAGAAAGAAACGAAGGTTTCAGGCTGGGACACAAAAGATGGAGAATAACAGGGGGCTCCGGATGCGCGAGAAGGGATCCAGAGCAGAGACACGGCTACGGCGGCAGGCACCCTTTCTACCGACATGCCCAGGGAAGGATGTGCAGCTGCTGAACCGGTGACTTTTGAGTCGACTCAAAAAGTCACACGGCTACGGCAGCAGGCACCCTTTCTACCAACGTACCCAGGCAAGAATGTGCAGCTGCTGCCCCGCCTCTTCATCGGAGGGAACAACGAGAGAATTGGTGGTGACGTGGCGACCTGTCATGAGCTCAAGCATGACAATGCCAAAGCTGCACACCACGACACGCCGTGGACAGGAGAGGTCAGGAGAGGAGAGGGAAGCATGAGAGGTGCCCAATAGCAAAAAGAATCAGCTGGAGAAATCAAATGGTCGTGGCTCACCTGTAGACATCAGTAGCGGTGGTGGCCCTATTCGATGCGGAATAGGAGGGATCCACATAGCCCGGTGTTCCCACCACTCGCGTACTCTGCACTGCTGTGCCCTCTCCCCTCCTCACCAGCCCAAAGTCTGAGATCTTAGCCTGCGCTTTTACATGGAAGGGCAATGGGTATGGATAAGAAAGGGTGACTAGTCAGGTCTACTGCTCTCTGATATCTTCACTTGCACACACACGGGCCAACGTGTGCATGGCTGTTCATGAAAGAGCATGTGGCACAAGGTGGGCTGCATGTGGCACAAGGTGGGCTGCATGTGGCACAAGGTGGGCTGCATGTGGCACAAGGTGGGCTGCATGTGGCACAAGGTGGGCTGCATGTGGCACAAGGTGGGCTGCATGTGGCACAAGGTGGGCTGCATGTGGCACAAGGTGGGCTGCATGTGGCACAAGGTGGGGTGCATGTGGCACAAGGTGGGCTGCATGTGGCACAAGGTGGGCTGCATGTGGCACAAGGTGGGCTGCATCACTCATTATTAAAGTGCAGCCCTGCTTGCCTGCATGTGCACGAGAGTGACAACGCCCCACTCACCTGCATGCGGTCATCGAGCAGGATGTTGGCGGGCTTGATGTCGCGGTGAACGATGCCGAAGCTGTGGAGATACTCAAAGCCGCGTGCCGCCCCCACCAGCACGCCCACCCGCTGCTCAAAGCTCAGCGGGGTCGCTGCCTCTGCAAGGGCCAGCGCATAGGAATGATGGGCGAGGCGGATGCGAACGGACGGAATGGAGGGATGGAGAGAGGAGTCCGTGAGAAGCAGGCAGGAAAGAGGGAAATAGCTAAGGAGGGATACCTGGCAAGAAGGCCTGTATCAAGGAGGCATGTATGAACAGGCATACCTGGAAGACAGCCAACTAGGTGGGAGCGTAGCTGCTAAGCACATGCATGCATTGTCAGAAAGCACACCTTTCCCGATCCATTTGGAGAGGTCCCCGTGGGGCATGAGCTCGTAGATGAGGATTTGCTCCACCCTTGTCTTGTCGGTGATGCCGATTGAGAAGCCCAGCAGTCGCACGAGGTTGGGGTGGTGCTTCGTTGCCATCTCACACACCTGCCAAAATGTGGGGCCAGTAGAAACGATGTTTTGATGATGTATCCGACACTTCTTTGTAGCCATCTCACACACCTGCCAGCGATGACGGTGGGCCCAGTAGGACACAGTTCAACTACTCATCTGACACTGCTTTGCGGCCATGTCAAAACAGTTTGATTATTCTTTGGCACTGCTGCCTACCAGAATGGTGTGGCAACATGGTGTGAAGAAAGAACAGTCACCTGGCACACCCGCCAGCAAATACAGCACGCTCGAATGGGCCATGGCCATGTAACACCTCTAGATTCCACAGCACTGCGCCAGCGCACATCACACCACAACACACCACACTACACCACATCAAATCCCATCGCATCACATCACATCACATGACACCCCATTGCATCGCATCACATCATACGGACATGGTGCCGCACCTCTTTATCAAAGTCGGTGGTGACAATCTTAGCTCGCTTCACGGCCCACTGAGTGGCTCCATCGGTGGGAGAGACGCCGCGATACACATCACCAAAGGCCCCCGCGCCCAGCAGGTTGGCCTCGGACCATCCGTTGGTTGCCTTCGCCACCGCATTAAGGGAATACTCCTGACACACCTGCGATGCCGCTTTGCTGCTCACCAGCGCTGTGGGCAGCAAAGGAGGAGGGAGAAGGGGAAGAACGAAAAAAGGTTGTGGGTATCAAACAGCATGCCGCCATGGCAGCACCAGCATTCCAAAACCCTGAGTAGGAGACTGAAGCACCGTGGCATGCGTACAGGGCCGGCACTGTGAGCGAGAGGCAGTGAGTGGATTGGGAAGAAGCGCGGGCTGTGGCACGCACCTTTCGGTCGCCTGGCATTGAACCAGCAGTAGAAGAAAAGCAGGGCAGCGACGGCCAGAGCAGCAGCAACAGCAGTAATAATGGCAACGATGGCGGCTGTAGACAGGCCTGATTTGGGCGTGTCAGCTGATGTCAGTGCTGCTGGTTTCGATTTGCCACCTGATAAGAGAATGTAAGGTTCATTGAAACGCATTAGATCAGATAACGTGGAGCTTGCACCTGGCGGGGAAATCGAAAGGCCTCTGTTTTGGTGTGCCCATAGTTGTTTGCAATGCAGAGTTTCTAGTGAAGATATGGTGTAGAAGCAGTTGGTAAGAAAAAGAGGGAAAACCTAGAAGGATGCAGCAAAGATGTTTTCCCACCACGCGGCAAATGTTTTTGAGGCGCCTCGAAAATGAACATATGGTGCAGCAGCAGTTCGTAAGAAAGGAGGGAAAACTCGCAAGGATGCACCAACACACGGCAAACCCACAAAGAAATCTATCTCGTACCGCTCTTGCTTCCCTTCATGTCAAGAGCGGAACTCACAAGTGGCGCAGAAGTCAGGGCAGGTGCGGCAGAAGGCAGAGGATGCATTCTGAGGCACACCACAGCTGGTGTAGCTGTCAGGGCATGTGAGGTTTGTGCCGTTGATGGCTCTGCATGGGGAGGGCGCAACGGAAAGGAGAGAGGGGAAGGGTGCAAAGGCAGGGTGCAAGGGAAGAGAGGACGGGAAAAGGTGCAAGGGAGGGGATTGTCAGCAAAGACATCTGGTTGTTTTTGAGAAATCTCAAGTAGCGACAGTCAGTTTCTCTTGTCGAGAAAGGAAAGGCATTCCTGTTTAGCAGGAGGCTTGGATTGGACACACAAGCCAAGTTGTGTCTCGTGATGGTGCCTGCATATACAGAAGCACATCACATATTTCATTGCGAGCACTCACAGTGTTGCCAGCACTCACAGCGTTGCTTGCCAGCACTCACAGCTTCGAGAGTCTGTTGAGGCGTCCAAGCGATGGTGAGATAGTTCCATCCATGTAGTTGAAACTCACATTCCTGTGGCGAGTGACACCGAGAGGTATATGATGCTCAGCATCATATAAGGTGGGGAAGTAACAAGGTACTCGGGTAAGAACGTGAATGCAAGCAGAGCAGACGAGAGCGCAGGAGCACGAGAGAGGAGAAAACGGCGCACGTAAGTGAGCCGCGTTAACTCGCCGCTATTGACATGTGGAGAACGGCTGATGCACTGAGGATGCATTGAGCGGAAGTGAATTTAAATAAAGCACTGCAACAATATGGCAGTTCGTGCAGTGGGGTGGATGCAGGGGGGATGGGATGGATGGAACACGTGTGACTGCGTTGCGTTTCTAGACGTCCCACACTAGAGAAACTGGGTTGTTGAGGCGTCTCATGCCCATCACCATGAAGAAGAAGAATGGGAATGGAATGGCAGCAACGAGGTTTTCAGTGGGCGGTGGGCAGTGGGCGGTGGGTAGAGGTGGGGATTCAGCTTTCATGATACTCACAGGCTGACCAAGGAAGTCATGGTTGCGATGGAGTCAGGAATACCGCCGGTCAGCTGGTTGTTGAAGAGATTCCTGATGGCACATGCATGGCATGTGAGAGAGGCATGGAAGGGAGGCATGGGAGGGAGGCATTTCCATGTGCGTGCAACGAGCATGGTGCGTGCAATGAGCATATGTGCAACGATTATGCATGGTGCTGCAGAGTGGTATCCACAGCAGCGGCGACGGCAGCGGCAACGGCAGCTGCAGTGCAGTGGAGTGGCCAGCACAGGGTGAATGAAGCACAGCAGTGGCGAGTTTGTTTGTTCGAGGGTTCCCCAGGATCACGTACAGGTACTGTAAGCTGGGCAGGCTCAGATTCGCCTGTGCTAGGCCATCACTCAGCTGATTCGATGATAGATCCCTGCAGTGCAGTCAATGCCATGCCATGCCACCCCCCCATACACGCAACACCAGCGCGCACACACACATGCAGCAGGCAGCCCCGCGATCCACGCACAAACAGCGGGTGTGAAGGCACAGCAGAAGGCCAGCAAGGCAGCGTGAAGTTGAGGCCGGTGATAGCTGTATCTAATGGTGTGTCGATGATTCCACGCGCATGGTATGGTGGGCAGCACATGAACGGGATGCATGCTCTGGCTGCATGATGAAATACATGCTGCTACCATCTATGCAAGGGAAACGAATTGCCGTCCTTCCATGCATATCCCAAATGTGTCGACCATACGAGCTGAAAGCGGCACCATGCTTACTGAGATGTTCTACCCTGCATGGTGGCGCATGCGGTTCGGATGCGGTTCGAATGCATACTTACAGAGATGTGAGGGCTGTCAGGTTTTTCAAGTAATCGAGGGTGTTTAGTTCGATTAAGTTGGACCGCAGGTCCCTGTAACACGTGGGAGGCACAACACAGGACGTGATGCATACCCATGCGATGAACGCATGGTATAATGGGTGAGTGGGCAGAGGCAGTAGAGACAGTGTGATTGTGGCGAAAAAGCGGCACATCTTCTAAATGCCCCTGCTTCTTGCTACGCAATCTGCAAAAGAATATGTATGTCCTGCATGCTGCGCATACTGAAAACAGATGTGACGAGATGTGATGACATGTAATAATGAGATGCCATACCCATACCCATGCCATGCCTTACAGGTTCATGAGTGTGGGGAAGCTGTTCTGTGTAAGGATCCACATTGCATGGATTCCGTTTGCCAGAAGCTCCCTGCACAAAAGGTGGCACAAGAAGGAACGAAGAGAAGGGAAGTTAAAATGTGTGTTGATAACAATGGGAACGAACGTGCCATTAAATCAGATCAACTTGTATGGTACTGCAGATGTGTGAAATGGGTGTGAGAAACAGGTGCGGGGAACGGGTGTGCCGAACAGGTGCGGGAAATGGGTGTCGGGAATGGGTGTGGAGAATGGTTGTGGAGAATAGGTGTGGAGAATGGGTGTGGAGAATGGATGTGGAGAATGGGTGTTGAGCTTACAGATCCACAAGGGTGGTGAGCAGACTCACTGTGGAAATCTCATCCCCGAACGGACAGTTTTGTATTCTCCTGTTGACCATGGAAGACAAATAAAATAATCATTTAAAACAGGTTAAGTAAATCTCAAAGATGGCATGCCGACGTAAAGATATAACACGCCAGAAACCAAACACAACTCGACATGACATGCCGTGACATGCTATACCATGCCATACCGTGCCATACCATGCCATATCATGCCATATCATGCACCCCACGCCATGCCCCGCTTAATCATGATCCTTCAATGCATACATGCATGCACACACATGCCACACCGCCGCAAGGGATTGCTTCTCACAGATGGGTCAACTGAGTGAGGTTGCCCATCTCAGCAGGAATGCTGTACATCGTATTCATTGAGCACGTCAGCGACCTGCACATCCCAGCCCCACACCACACCACACGCATCAGGCAGGCAGAAACATGCAGGCGAGGCGAGTCAAGTCAGATGTGTGTGCAGGCAGGGCAGAGCGGATATGTGCTTTTAGATCGATCATTGATGACCATGTGCATGCTGAAACCTGAGATCAACGTTTTGATACCTCAACGTGCGGATACCTCAACGTGCGGATACCTCAACGTGCGGATACCTCAACGTGCTCCCGGCTGAGCAGCTTGGCAAGGCAAACAAGTGCAGGGCTGTACAATACACGTTTCACGCTGCAGAAGCGTCCCTTTATGACTCAGGTCGTATCCCAATCAAGTGTCAAAAGTTAGTGTCATGACACTAACTCATTCTGACCAATCGCATTGGCCGAGCCTTTTCTTTGGACCAATTCGATTGGTCAGAATGAGTTAGTGTTAGACACAATGCACGTGCAAGGAACGTTTTCTACTCTTCTCTTCCCTTCTAGTTTGCTCATCTCGCCAGGTACCCTGCTGTTCTCAGCCACCCTCGTGCTGTGTGTGATATCTTCTGGCCTTGTCATTTGACCAGTAAGCATCACACACAAGGGAATGCCAACTACGGAATACATGCGCCTCAGACAAAGCAATCATCGGGCCTTTCCCATACAGGAAGAGCATGTGGTTTGGGCCACAAGGGCGGCAGCAAAGAGCCGCGCCCCATGCAAACGCGAGCATGAAGGAACGACAAGGGGCAGTAAGAAGCACGAAGCAGCGATACGAGACGTGAGGGAGAGCTAGAGGGAGCAACACGAAGCAGGGAGAAGGGATCGCGTCACTTCATCGAATACAAATGCAACAGAGCACGTACGGACGGAGTCATGAAGCAGCATGCACAAGCAGAAGGGACCACAACAGAACGGAGAGCATGAGGGCGCAGAAACGATCCCATCAAGTCATCACGGCCACATGCATACATACATAAGGTGAAGTAGGAGAGAGTCCCACTTACAGAGACTTGAGCCAAGTGATGTTGTAGAGCGTGCCTTCTGGCGGGTACTTAACGTCCTTTATTTCCCTGCGTCGGGATTCAAACACAGTTGCCTTTTCAACCTCGATAAAAAAGACGAAGCAGATGGGAGCATCGATGATTGCACTGCGTAACATGGTTGGCTTAGGCTAGACAAGTGGTCGGATCGGTGCATTCAAGAAGATAAGAAGACGCACTTGCTGCGGAGAAGCAAACTAGCAAGGGGAGAAGCAAGCAGCCATGGATTACTGGGTTAACAGGAACTGCACAGCGGGCAGAGATCCAGGAAAGATCTAGGGACTCATAAAGAGCATCCTTACAGCTTTGTCAAGTGGGAGAGCCGTGTGACGCTGTCAACGTAGAACTGAGTCTGGTATGTTGCAAAACTCCTGTGCATACAAGAAGGAGGTGTTAGAAAGTTGGGTTGGAGGGCCGAGACGGGCGGCATATTGAGTCCCCATGCGACCACTGTTCGCATCCCAGATTGTTACTGTGCAAAGCACAGTAAAGAACCGCGTGATACGGCACAGCAGAGCACAGCAGGAAATGGCACGGCTGGCACGCACGGCTCGGCACAACACAGTAATTCACAAAACTTTCCGGGCGGGGACTCACATGGAGGTGATCATGCCGTCTGAGTCGCATGTGAGGCCATCCGCTTGCTGGCAGTCGCTCCCCGCCTTCCATCCATATGAGTTGAACATCAACGTCGTCTGCAACTCCTGCAGAACAGCACCTGCCGCGCAGGCAGCCAACAGCACGAGCCTCGCAATCAGACTGGCGGCATTCATTGCAGAAAACAGGGTCGAGACGTTTCTCGAGGCGTCCGAAAAATCAGTGCAGGAAACAGGGTCCAGTGCCCCACACATCATCGGACGTGCGTCCACAAGTTCACTTCAAGTTGCTCGAAGCATCAGCGCTATGATCAGGGTCACACCAGGCGAAGGGTGTGTTAAGTACAAGTGAGGGTCATCCCACAGCGTGAAACCGGCCCTTGTAAAGACTCTTGCAGACGAGGCGTGCAGTGCGGTGGACGGCAGGACCGGGGGTGTGTCGAGCGCTTTGATACGGCGGACAGGACGCGACACAGACTAGTCCACGCGACATCGCGCGCGCGATTCGATTTGAGCCGCACACGTTCAAGAGTCAACTACCTTGCGATTCCGCGATGGGCTGTGCGAGCGACGAGCGCGGCACGAAGCATGTAAATGTCACGACGAGCGTGAGGAGGAGACCGCGAAGACCTTGAATTATCATCTTGCGTTACCAGTCCTGGTGAATCCTGGCAGTCACAGTCGACGAGCTTCGTTTGAAACGAGGAACGCTAGCTGCTTCGATCAGATGTTCTGTCCTCACGACACGCCAGATACCGCGAATCACGTTTGATAGCTCTCAAAAAGTGACTTCAGTTTACTGCGAATACTGTACTAGTCGCTCCTATCCCGACCTTGTTAGGCACCAAAGCAATCAGTCAGATTCATATGGAAGATAGATACTAGCTGACAACTTGGTGACACCCAACGAAAGGTAGGAAGGGTGAGGCTATTTGGAAAGATTTGAGACTCCAGTTTAAGTTATAAAGCTTTACGAAAGGTGGAGTACGTAAGCAAAAGTTGTTAACACTAGCAGCGGAAGGGAATTACATTGTCAAGTGCGAGCCATTCACCTGGTGAATCCGCAATATTCTGTGCAAGAAACATCCATGGTCACAGGCACATGAGTGCAAAGACGAAGTGGAAGAGGAAGATGGAGAGCATGTAAGTAGCGGGATGACGTGACGGACCGACGAAGCATCACCAAATCGCTGATGGTGGTGAATTCCTTGTTGACTGACTGCAGCAACGAGCCGCAGGCTCAAACCCGTCGGTTCGGCAGGGCGTGGCCCACACGTTCATCTGGGCCCTGTTCGGCAGGCATTATGGCCATTGTGGCCATTATGGGCATTTTTAATGGGCCCCCAAAAAATGGCCCCTGTGCATTTCTAGAAACAGCCCCGAAATGGGACTGTAGCTACAGTGCACCTAGAGAAAAAATGGTTTGACTGTTCGGGTGGCATTAATTGGGTGTAGATTGATGGTAGGCAGCTTCCGTGATGGATCGCGTGATCATGTGATTGGCTGGCTTAATTGACCAGTCACTGTTTAATGCCCCCTTTCACTGATACCCCGCATGGTGCGGGGCCTCGAGGCCGCATGGTGCGGCGGATGAAAAAATGGGCACTTTGCCCGAGAGACTGGGTTCGTGGAAGATTCCAGCTGGTGAAAACGCCTGCACAAAAAGGGCTGTTCGGGAGGCATTCCATTATTGTCAGGTTCGGCGTAGACCCTCTTATATCGAGCCTTGATAATCATTCACGCGCTTATCAAGGAAGGTTCAAGGGTGGTCGTTTCACTGTAGCCCAACTGCCGAGGCCATTTTTTTAATGCCTGCCGAATTGGGCCCTGAACGCGGCTCAACAACGCGCTTTGCGTTGAACAACGGTCAAATATAATTGTGGTTCATGAAGAGACAGACAGCCCAAGATGGGCTCACCGCACTTTATCCTCGCTAGTGTGCCCAGAATCCCATTCGGCGGTGTCCAACGCCGTTACAGTGGCAATAAATTGTCTGATTACAAGTCTGGTCTCCTATGATGGAATCTTGTTACTTTACATGAATTGCAGAAGTCATGAAAAATAAAGAACTATGACCAAGAATACGGCGATGAATACCACAACCATACAGAAGCAACAAGAAAAACAAGGACAACAATCTCAGCGATTTCACGTGTTTTTCTTAACTATGTTACGAGATGTATGTATGTCCGATCTGAACGAACGTACACTTTCGATATTTTGCTCTGTCCTCTCCCTCGCAATTACTTGTACCGCATCTCCATGGGTTCTGGCCCCATTCCCCCCATTCACTCGCGACACAACCCCTCCCAGTTCGTGCATTGCGATGCTAGCTATGGCATGCCGTGCGCTTCGAAGCGCAAGCTGCCAGACCATGGCATGGCGCTCTGCTAGCTCGCCAGGTCAGCGTACCCAGCTTGCACTCGCTGCCGCCCCTCGGAGTTTACAACTCGCTGCTCGTCTCCGTTCGTTCCTCGTTTCCACCTCGATCGAGCGAAGCTTCGATTCGACTTGGTCGCTTGGTTCCTAGTTGATCGATCAGTCGTGTCGCTCGATGGAGCATCGCGCACCATATAACGACTCTCTCTGCTCTAATCTTCCTGATTTTCCCAGTCTTGGCCTTGCCTTCATCACTAGATCTAAACATATCTTATCTCTCGACCTAGTAGCGGCACCTGCGGCTGCTTTTCTCCAGTTTTAGTACTCTCGTAGTCCTATTTCTCACCCTCAGCGTCAGGGTCAGCGCCATGTATTCGCAGCAAAGCTACGGCATGTCGCACATGGGCAGCCAGCAGGGCTGGAGGACCAGGCAAGTCTCATTTCCTCCGATTCCCTGTGTCGCCGTTTCCTTGCTGCTTCTGCTAGCGACGCCGTGATTTCACCGCCTCGCTTTAACGTACCCACTTGAGAAGTGCAACGTAAACCTCCCCGTTCTCACGTTCTCTCGCGCTAGGCTTGCTCTCTTCTGGCTTCGTACGCTCCTGTGGTTCCATGGCAGGGATATTGTGTTCACCATCGCGGGCCTTGGGATTGCCGCGACCATCGCCACCGTGACCGTGGTTGGCGGCGGAGCGACGCTGCTGTTTTTCTCGCCCGTGCTGCTTTTCTTCTCGCCCATCCTCGTGCCGCTGCTGCTGCTCGGAGGTGCGACCTTGGGGGATTGGCTGTGGATGGCTTGGTTGGATGGATCGTGTTGTGTTAAAGAGCAAGTGGGACAGGGCTGCTGATTTGCTGATCTTGGCATGTGCGGTGCATATCACGAGGATGTGTTGCATCCACCAACCTCATGCTGCCCCTGATTTATATTTATATATATTTGCATTGATTGAAACCCGGAGCTGTCACACCTTTTCTTCCCTGCCTCCTCTTGGCCCCTGTTCTGTCTGTGTCTTCCAGGTGGAGCGCTGGCATTGGGTGCAGCAGCAGTAGCCACACTAGCGTCGCTCGTGTGGGGATGGAATTACTTCCGTGGGAAGCACCCGTATGGCTCTGAGTCAGTGGATCGCTTGACTGGGGAGGTGAAGAGCGCTGCTGGTTATGTCACCCACAAGGTGGCTGATACGGCCCGGTCTATTGGAGAGACAGGTTACGGCACGGCCAGGGACACTGCTGGGCAGGCGTATGGCACTGCGAGGGACACTGTGACAGGCACTACTGGGCAGGCATATAGCGGAGCGAGGAACACAACTGCACAGGCTGTTGGTGGTGCTGGTACGAAGCCCACTTCAGCTGCGGCTTAGGGTGGTTGTGTGGATGGTGGGTTATTAGCTGATGAGGTGATGTAAATGTTGGGTTGTGGTGGTGGTGGATGGTTGCAGCTCATAGACCTATGTAAATTGATTGTACATAGTACCAGTACCTAAGCTTTCAATGTTAAATGATGCATGGATGAAGTATTTTTGGGAGGATTCAAAGGCTACACGTTTACTCAGAAAAGTAGTTCTCCTCTACGTGGGGGACATATAAATGCACACAGATCAAACATTTCTATCCCCCTGTTTTTTTTTGTTTTTTTTGTTTTTTTTTGTTTTTCTCACAAAACAAGGAAATAAGGAATAAACGGGTTTCCTTCAGTGAGGTGCAAGCGAGATTGTCTTTAATTTTACACTTCTGGAAGAAACTTTGTACATACGGTACTTAGTAAGTGAAGATAAATTGATATTCTAAGCGAATGGACTAGCTGATAACTAAATAATGTTATTACAACAATTAGTAAGGGGGTATGTTGCCCTACTTTTTTTTTAACAAGGGCTCTTTTTTCACTCTTTTAGTACATTTTTTTCCCCCGTACCTTTTTTTTTTTTTTTTTTGGGAACAGTCATCAACACAGCAGCCTCTCTACCAGTGGCAGCAGCAGCCGTTGCATTCGTCCCAGCCACCAACGGACGGCCCACGCATCACCAGCTTTACTAAGCACTCACACCCCCTATCACACCACCACACCGCACCACACTCTAGCCTCCTCGAGCAAGCAACATGTACTCCCTCATCCGACCCCTCCCATTAAAGCACTCCCAGCAGCAGTACCCTGAGAGGGCTCCCATAACAGGAAAGTTGTGGCTACCAAAGCAGCCAGCAGTACAGCCAACCCCAAAGCCTTGAGGTACAGAGAGTCTCTCCCTGCCATCCACCATGAAGCACCATTTCTTGCTCCAGGTTGCTACACCGCACGAGGTGCTGGGTGCAAGGACAGCCTAGTAGTAGGGGCGGTAGCGGAAGGGACGGCGGAAACGGGGCGCCCTCCTGGATACACAAGAGGGGGAAGGGGCAGCAAGAGGGAAAGACGGGAAGAAATTTAGAATCACGATGGGGTGTACATGTGGAGCGGATCCAATCACTCACAGGAAAGAGGCCAAGCAGGCCAAGAGGCAATGGAAGCAAAAGCAGCAGTGGGTGCGTGTGTACGTACCCATAGCCGCCTGGTCCACCCGGGCGGAAGGGACGGTAGCCGGGGCGGCGGAATCTGTGCGCCTTCATGCCCGGCACGTTGGTGCGCTTCGCCACCACCTGCACGCGCGCGGCCGATGGTGCGGGGGGACAGGGGAAGGCGGGTGGAGAAGGGGTTAGGGTAGGGAAACGTCGCATGGAAGAGGAGGAGGAAGACGTTGGCCGAGATACAAGATGGGAAGAGGCAACCGTTAAGTTCCGCCAGGCGCACGCTCCAAACCTCACCAGAC